GTCCGCTATCTATTCTGATTGAGAAACGACTCCAGCCCTCGGCAGCTGGACCGATAAACCGTTGCCTAACCGAGGAAGAGAAGGTGCAAATCTCTGAGCGCGTCATGACAGCCGTTTTTGTCTCGGACCTTTGAATACAGGATGTAGGCATTAGAAAGAAGACTATCAACTCTCCCTGACGACTACGCTCTTTGATACGCATGGACTCCCCAAGTCGAACCACCCGTCATTCGATGGGTTAGTGGGTCAGAATCTAGTTGTGTGATATTCACCTGGGTTGTTCATCACTCACCTGATCGTGAGATGCCCAACATGAGAGACAGCCGAGAATTTTGTCACAATGAGCCTCGAGGGCCCGGCGGAACCTGTTCGTCATCGTGCAAATCCGATATATCACAGAAGACTTCCCGGCCAACGAACGAGGAAAAAATGTTCGTTGTACAGGAAGTTCGCTGCGAAGGTTCTCGATTCGAGTTTTGTAAATCTCAGGGAGTGCATAAAGCAATACCCGATTCGGTTGGGGGACCCTGACCTCAGAATCTGAAGACGGGAAAAGCTTGCTCCGAGGAGCGTTTTTGCCGAGGAGACACACGAAGAGTCAGTAGCGTGTCCAGGCGCGACATCATTCCTCGCCGAAGCTTGTTTCGAAAAATCAAGTAGGACCCTCTCCCATGATCGACACTTCTGGACCAGCCCTCGTGTGGATTTGCTCTCCCTGACATGACCGGTGTTTCCTGGCGCGATCGCGCACCCTAGGGTCGGAGAGGGTTCATTGCAGCATTCTCATCCCAGGCTTTACCAAGGACGGAAGACGAGGTTTCCGCCATTTTTCGGATAGCGAAGTACCCTAGGGCTCATATGGAGGGGATCCATCTTTGCTGAGTCGTTCCTCCTACATATGTGCCGTGAAATCTAGACCCCATCCTTCCCCTCTGGGTTCATTCATTGAGCCCATCATCGAGAGTGAACTGAGATAGGGGAACTTCCTCGTCCATCTCGAGATAGACTCTCTCCCATTGCAGGCATAAGATACGGTCGAATATCGTTTCTCTGTAGCACCGTGGAATATATGGCGAATCTTGCTCTTGGGAGCTCAAAATAGATCTGAAGAACGCTCGGAGCATCTCGAAACTGGATGCTGGTTGCCGTGCGGTGCAGTCGCGAGTCTCATGTTCCGAGCATCGAAGCGCTGTCGACGAGCCAGCCGCGCGACGAAGACCTCAGTTCTGACGCTCCTACTCTTAGGGTGATTCGTCTAAGATTCATATCTTTCCAGAGACAATATCGCGTGCGTTGTCATCACATTCAAAGAAGACATCGGAACGCAAGGACGAGGTGGATACTTCGATCAATTCGGTATAATCCGCGACGTCATGCAGAATCATCTCTGTCAAATTCTATCGATTGTCGCCATGGAGAAACCTGTTTCAACCAAAGCGGACGATATCCGCGATGAGAAGGTTAAAGTGAGTACCTTTTCCTGTAAGCGGGAGGAGCGTGCGAGCAGCCAGGCGGTCTCCAGAGGCGCGAATAAGCGCAATTTCTTCAATCATTTGATGGAAAAGTGCTATTTGCCTAATATCGCTCCGCATCCCAGGTACTCAAATGCATACCACCCATCCGCCTTGAGAATGTAGTAATGGGTCAATATGTGGGCAACCCCAGTGGCCTTGGTGAACAGACTCAAGGCTACCTTGACGACCCTACTGTCGCCTCGAGACTCCATGACTCCAACCTTTGCCACTGCCATCTGTTACATCAACAATGAACGCTGGGATAATGTTCCCTTTATACTTCGCTGTGGAAAAGGTACTTACTATATTTTTCCATATGTCTACTCGGAAATATCTGAGCCGAATCCTCCGAATCCTCTCCTCATTAGCGAGAAGGGCTTCTAACATACGCGATTGTGGGATTCAAGCCCTGAATGAGAGAAAAGCTGAGGTACGTATTCAGTATCGCGATGTACCCGGCGACATTTTCGGTGGTCAAACCAAGAGGAATGAGCTCGTGATGCGGGTGCAGCCCGGTGAAGCGGTCTATGTGAAACTCATGAACAAGAAACCCGGCATGTCTTTCGGGATCGAAGAAACGGAACTCGATCTTTCCTACAACAGCCGTTACAAGGTATGAGGAATGTGTCAGCCGCGACCCGGATTGAGCGATGTCCGATGATAATTCATTGAGGATGGAGATCCGAAAGTGGACATCTTTCCGAGGACGTCGTTCCACAGTGAATGATCTGAACCTTAGTAAGCGGAAGCTTCTTTCTCAGGGGATGGTTCTACCGGATGCCTACGAGCGCCTCATCCTGGACGTTTTTTTGGGCAGCCAAACGAACTTCGTCCGCAGCGACGAGCTAGCTGAAGCCTGGCGCATCTTCACCCCACTCCTGCGAACGATTGAACAGGATCGCACCAAACCTATACGTTACGTTTTTGGCAGGTAAGGAAAGATCAACCTCAATCGCGAGCGAGAATCTCCTTCATCCCTTGCTCGTATATGTTCCATCGAAGCCTCATTATCTGTCCTATCCCGCATAGTTGGACTAAATATGATGTTACTAATTGCTGTAGTGCTTGCTGTCGCTTCCCTTGTCACTGTTCTTCCCAACGATCGTCTTGTCCACTCCCCGTTTCGTTCTAATGTCTTTCGTCTGTCGCATGTTCTTCTGTGCGTGTTGCAGACCTAACTTTAGTCTGCGTCCTGGTCCATCTGCACTCGCGGCTCCTTCCTCACAGCACCTTGACAGCCGTTATGCTGATGCCGATTACGATGGAGGGGATGATGCTTATACGAATGCGACACAGTCTTCTTACCGGATGCAAACGTCGGCGATTCCTACCCTCATCTTTCCGCATGAGTATCTACCGCAATATTCTGAGAGCGCAAGCACGGGGAAAGAGTCGTCGATTGAGGTTCCCCGCTGCGGAAGATTTTCTTGCGAGCAGTGCAATGCTCAGAATGTCGATGACTCGCCGTCCGCAAGATTCACGGTATCCGAACTGCCGGGCTCCGATGCAGAATCTTCAGAGAGAGTGTAAACACTTGTCGTTCCTCTGTCTCATGATCATACTTGCGGTCATCATATGTGTATTGTTGTATTCGATGCTTAAACAGAGACGCGAACTGACGCGGAGGTTGATCAAGAGTCGATATTTGACCTGACAGGAAGGTGCAGCCTCACGTCGCGACGTCGTGAAAAATTCCTCGCGTCGGAGAAAAATTCCTGCTCGGTCCCCTTAATCTTCGACCGCGGTACGGTATTTTCTCCTCGTGCTCTCGCTTCAGGGAAAGTCCTCGACGATGCACGTGCTCAGGAAGCTTCTCCAACTTCGGTACTTTTTTGTGGATTCGCAGAGCGACAGACGAAGCACGAAGTTTGCGAAGCAAATTGAGCATATGACGAGAAAGCGCTGTGAGACTGACACAGTGGAAGTTATGCAGGTCTGAACGTCGCACGTGAATTAGACGCTCAAACTGTTGACGCACAAGTCGATCGAGCCTGCGATATCTGTTTCCTACGGGTGGAGTGTGAAGAGGATATCCACTGTAACTTATTCATAAACCTTCAAATATTTACAGCCGCGGTCCTAAAGAGTCCGACCTGCTAATGAACTCGAAGGGCTTCAACTACTACGGAACGTACCGCTGGGATCAGAACTCCAAAATGTAGTCAGTAGAATGGAGTCCAAGCATATCTACTGAGTGATCAGTCCATTCTCGACAGCGAGTCAGGGAGACTCTCGTTCACAGACTCATATTTTGAAAATTTTACACATAATTCCAATGGTTAACGAAAGTTTTCGCCTGTCGTCAATTGAGAAATCAGGGAGGAGCTCGCCGTAGTTGGGAACGAGCGAATATGTGATAGAATGTGCCGGGATAGACTTGAGCTCCTCTGCCGCCGTCAGGGAAAATTCCGTCCCATATCCCGCAAGATACGGTACTTTTCCGGAAGGATGATGCGGAGTATGCTTTCTTGGTAGGTATCAAACAAAACCAGCCTTTGTGAGATGCACAAGCTCTGTCACTGAAGTCTCGATGGCCCCTCGACGACACGACCATCTTCGCGTATTCGGACGATCAAAGAGCGTGAAGACACCGAATGAGCAGACACCGCGATACCGGGGGACGGTCCCAAGTTTTAGCTACCATGTCGACTGGTAACTTGTCTTCTTTTCGTCGGAGCTCGTGCTTCCAGAACATACTTTGCGGAGTAGACTCAGCATCGATTCCACTGGAAAACAAGCTCGTCCTGAGAGTTTCGATCCAAGAATAAATAGACAAATGTGCGATTCGACGTATACAGTTTATTTGGAAGCGCGTCGAAGAGTCCTAACTCCGGTTAACATTGGCTATCTCTGGCGTCATGGAATCCCGATCTGCGCAGGAAAATGAACCGATGACAGGATCTGATCCTCTCAGAGACCTCGAAATTTTTCGATCGGAAAACTCTCGAATTCATCCTCCCTGAGAGCACAGCATGATTGCTGCGTGTGATAGCTCCATAGTATGATATTTCGGGCGCCATGTAATTTCAGGGTGTCCTCTGATCTGAGCACGGATCCATCGTCGTGGGTAGGGACGACGCTAGGAAGTGACGTCGTCTCTGGAACAGAATATCAATGTCCTGACGATCAAGCGCCTAGCCTAAGTCACCCTACTCTCCGCGGAGCCCATGGCATTCGTTGGGAAGCATGCACTCAGCTCAGATACCCACACTGGCGAATAGATTGTCCTGGAGCGCTCGAGGAAGATATGCACACCTGGAGAAGTTGCTCTCAGCCGCCCGAATCACTCATTTGGCTATGGGAGAAGTAGCGGCATCGATCATCACTATCTCTGCGCTCGAAGTATGATATTCTAAGCCGAAGTCATCGCAACGCTCGATTCACCTTAGCGCTCATATCACTTTCGCACCTGAATCATCGCAAGGCGTTAGGCATAAGGATTCATGGCGGCTCCACGTCGTTTTTTCTTCATTTCTTATCTTCGGTCTAGGCATGAACTTTGGATTGATTCGAGGTCGATTGGCCACACGGTGCGGATAAGATGCTGCGTACCTGGTGCTCTATGCGCGACATTGCTCCACCTGGCAGAAATTCACGTCCATCCACTGGGTCCGCGAACTTGGGTGGCGACTAGCGTCATTTTCAGCCGGCCTCGATCGCATGCGATTGATTCACCCTTGCCATCCGTCGCCGCCCTTGAATCGCGCTCAAATAAGCCGTCGCCGATAAGATCTAGATGCGGAACGACTTATTTTGCGTATGTTTTCTGTGTTCTCTTCTGCCGAAACAAATCAAGAGGGCTATGCACGCCGAAGACGCGCGACTTCGCCAGAACTCATAATCCGGAATGACACAATATTTACCTCCTTTCGAGAGCGGCAATCCTACCTAATTCATTCTGAACACCAGAGAGTCTCTTCCGGACGATGCGGATCGCGGCGACCGAGGGACCTAGGGCGTTTCCCAATCAGCGACGTATCATACATAGGATTCCGATCCGTCGTTCTAGGGTACGTCGGCTCCTGTTTCAGGAGTACAATCAACATTCGGGCTTCTGGAGATCCGAACGAGTCGTACGCCCATGACTAGGGCTGAGGAAAATATGCTTAAAAAAACGAAATATGCATGTACGATATGCACTACGATCGGCAGTTTTACTTTATACACACACTGAGCTTTTTGACAACAACCACCTCGCTGTTAGTCTAGGTCTTTTTACATGCGACTACGACGAACTTATTCAGGTCTTCGAATAGAAGAGAGCGCCGGTTGTCGCGGAAGATTGACTTGTACAGGGGGAAAGAATGCTCAGCCTCACAAGAAACAACCGAAGCGAATTTCAGGAGGATAAAGTCGTCAAGTGGCATCGCCACGATCTCTTCTCTCGCTCCTTCCCGCATGAAATCCCTTGAACGTTGAAGCTCGGCGAAGCCAGCGTTGTTTTTCTGGACGTTTCCGAATTTCCGAGAAATTGCGCCGAACTCCGTGTGGGGAGCGGTCGGATTCTTTCTCGTAGATTTTCGACTATATTCAATGAGCTTCTGAGCGACAGACCGTGTCTTTCCAGTGCGGTGATACAGTCGGGAATTTCTGAAAAATGTGTTGCTAGTCGCGTCAACGAAGAGCCTCTCCGCTCCCTTTGACTGCGAGCGCATCGGCTGCATGCAATTTTTCGCAGTTTTGTCTGCGAAAAATTGCACTCCTCGAACTATTGTACCATAGATTGGTCCTGGTTAAGTTTCAGAGATGCTGCATCGGCTCAGAGAAGGACTCACAACAGTACTCGCGAATATAATGCGGGTATCGAAGTATGCCTTTCATGCTCGGAAAAAGTCAAATATGCGATCATGCGCTAGAATATGCGTTTCACAGGAGTCCCAGCCCGAGTCATGACTCATGACCGCGCTCGACTGATCCATCAGAAATCAAAAATTTCGTGCTCGATGTGACCCAAGAGAGCGCGTGTGGATTCGCCTCTGCGGGGATCGCTGACACTATTGCGAGACTTGTGCATCTAAAGAGACAGCGGGGACATTGGTCTATGGCAGGTCGTCGAGAGAAACTTTCACTCGCGAGGGAAGAGAATCCTCTGCTTGCCAAAGAAGTCGATAGGTTTCGCAAGCTGATGCTGTTGCTGTAAAGCGAGTCTTTTCTTCTCCTTCACCCACATTCGGACAGCTCGAGGGATTCCGCCTCTGGAAAGATCTTGACAGCGCGCGATTTTCTTCCTCGGAGAAGCGCCGCAAGCAGGATATATTCAGCAATCGATTCAGGACCACGTCAGGGTAAGCCTTCCGGATAGCTGGGATGGCGCAGTGACGAGAGCTCTGGTGGGGCGGGCCGCCCGCGGGCGAGTCGTCCTGGCGGGAGAGGGTGAGTAGTTTCGGTTCGACTTGTAAACAAAAACAAAGCGCATCCTCCTCCTTTCCTTGCCACCGGTAAGAGAATCAACACATTGAAGTTGCGGGCAGGGGCTAGTCAGAGAGTTCGGCGCATGACTTCCCGTGCTCACGTACATGACGGGTAGGTTGGAACGATTCATAGGATCCGGCCCAGCTCAACGTGTATGCATCCCGCTGCGGCCTAGACCACACGGGAGAATTCAGATTTCCTGGAAATACACGTTCCTGACTCCAACCTCATGCGGTTATTGCCACCACTCTTGCTGAACGGAGCGCTCGAGCGTCTCCGCCTGCTGAAGTCGTGTCTTGACAGGATGGCCAGATACTCCTGATATCTCAAGATTTCTGATAGAAATTAGCAGACGTTCAGTGAGAGGCAGAGTTTTCGGCTTAGAGCCCGGTGGAGTTGACGGATCATCGATGTCAACTTTCGATACTGGCGGCAACAGCTCAATAATCAATTTAGCATGCGGCTGGTGCTGCGAATCTTGTTCGAATTGAGGCCGGTGAGGATATCCTTCGCGGATGTTGAGCACTCTAACAATCACTATTCACCACCACAGGTCGTTCCGGAGTGATGTTCTTCTCGGATCGAACGTTCGCGACTACAAGAAGTGGCTGAGTAAAGCAGTGGTTCACCGCTCAGCTCGTCCGGTCAACGTCCCGCATGCCACATGACGTGTGTATGAGATCAAATCATAAAACACGCACTCATACTTCAGAACGTCTGAGTTCGTTTCTCTTGCGGTGGACCTTCTTGTCAGGGAGACTTCTTTCCGTGTTTCAGAATAATCGACGTGAGCAGACGTGAGAGCAGGCTCGACGAGGCCACTCTGTCAGGGAGAGCGGGAGAGGCAGCGCGGTCTCCAGGCGTCTGAGTGAGTTCGACATCCTATCGAAAGTCATCTCTGCCAATGGGCAACGATCACTATAGGCGCACAAGACACGAGGAAACAGTCCAAGCATTCTACCGCCAACACAGTGCTTGATAAAATCCCTGGCTGTTTTCACAGATTTCTCGATCGGAGGTCCTTCTCAAGCATCTCAAAATGGATGCCGGACCTTCAACTTCGACCGGCGGCTTCACCGATGACAGGTCCGGAGAGACATCAACTCTTGAAGGTCTGGGAGAAATATATGACCAGACGGAACTAGAAGATGATATTTTGGGCAACATCGATGAACAAATGAGCGCGCGGGAAAGAATCGATCAGGACAAACGGCTGCAAAATATCGCTGAAGAGCTGAAGTGAGTCTCACCAATCCTCAGGTTCCGCGACTTGTATGATATCGATTACTCCACTACTGAGAGATGCTTGCAAGAGGATCAGATGCGGCCTTTCGAATCTAGTATGCCTAGGTCCACCCGATCTTCTCTGACTCGAAGTATTTCCTCTCGCGAGACATCAATGACTGCCTCCCTGAGGATTCGCAGAACCTCATGATCCGCGACCGCATTCTAACTCGCGAGCTCCTTTCTCCTATGGTTGGCGCCATTCTAGGCAAACGAAACTGAGAATTAAAATCATAGACGATCACTTGAACAGCGTGAAGGATGAGAATTCCCTGACTAAGAGCGTCCGGAAGAACATACAGATGATTAAACGAGAAAAGGTGAGCTTACCCTGCGCTGATACGAATCAATCTTGCCATCTTAGCAGAGTACTCAGATTTCGAGATCCCGTAGGAAAACAGGGAGAAACAAGTTAAGAAACTGGAAGCGAAGCTTCGCAGTCTGAAAATCTATCTCGGTCATGAAGACATCCCCAACTCAGAAGATGTTGACGACGAGATTCGGCATCAGCTGCAAATGCTACTCGGCGATGAAGAGACGGAACACGACAAGAAGATCAAAAACGGAGAGATGACTCCTTTCGGAACGGTATGCGAAGCAGAGGGTTCTCTCATCCTGAACGTATCTCCTCCGAGCTTCCGTGTCGCGGCTCCCCCTTCGTCAGAGTTTCGGATCTAATTAGGCATCGAGTCAGTCTTCCTCCCTCTGAGATTCATTCCCTACACAGTTTCGAGCTCTCAAGCTACCGGACGTGGATCTCTTCGATCAATTCTTGGATGAGGAAATCGGCAACGGGAAGAAGCAGCAGAGAAAGAAACTATCGAAATGCGAGCCGAGTCTGCCGAAGCAAACTTTAATGACAGCTGCCAAAGCTGAGAAGAGATCAGCGGAAGTCGGCACCGATTTTACGCTGCTCAGGTGAGCTCGAGCTGACGCATCCGTAGTTGAGATTATTTAGTTGATGTTCATTCGCGATTTATTGCTGAATATTAATGGCATCGGTCACGGAATCCAAGGCCGAGGAAGAAGAAGCGCCTCACCGGAGCGCTCGGCTCCGCAACAGAGTATGTTCGAGAGAGAAGATTGAGGCTAGACGATGTCTCTCGTGAAGAAGGATCTCAATCACCAAGGTGGGTCGATCTTACAAAATCGGGGCGGTCTCTCCCAGCCCGAGGAAAGGCAGAGCATTCCTCTGACAATGAGTAGGCGCAGTATCGGTCTATAGTATACGGCACAAGACGAACGCTTGGAGATGGAACGAAGGCTTGCGATCGCGTTCGAGGAAAATAAATTTTCCGAGAAACGTTGGCAATTGGTTTCTCAGAGCATTGATTGCAGCTATTCTTGAAGATCGAATATGTATCCCGGAATGAGAGTTGACTCTGTCGACAGAATATCCCTCCTATTCCAGAGCCGAAGACCATGATCAATCGATCGATGATTCCGATTATGATCCTCAGAAGGAGCCAGAAAGTAGCGCCGAGTCAGACGTAGTCTGTGATGATGATGATGATGACGACGGTTTTGACGAGCACATCGGAAAGAGATTCAAACAGGGGTGCTATGACGACGGTGACTCGAAGGTGAGCTGAGCTCGAGCCGAAATTCTCATGCAACGTTCTAATCCGAACCGGAACTCCTACATTGAGCAAGCTCCTGATGCGGCAATCCTGTCTCCAGATGTACGAGGCGAGGCTCAGGGGTCTATCCGAGGATAGCGACTGCAGCGATGAGGACGTTGATGAAGATTTCCGAATGCCGACTTCGTTATGGAATAAGCTTTACAAATATCAGCAGACCTGTGTGAAATGGCTCTGGGAACTCCATCAGTTCAAATGCGGCGGCATTATCGGTGCGTACCGGGCGTATGTTGCCAGGCTTTAGATATTCTATCTGCCGCTTTGGGATTGCTTGTCGACCCTCATCGGACGTCTTCATCCAGGTGACGAGATGGGTCTCGGGAAAACTATCCAAGCCATCGCTTTCTTGCGTGGACTTCGCCACTCGAACACGAAACTGCCGGGCGAGGCTTTCCGCGGACTCGGACCAATTATTCTGGTCACTCCTGCTACCGTGATGCATCAGTGGGTTAAGGTAGATATGACTGGACCCCAGACTCTGGCGGTTTGCTTCTCGACGTGGCTTCCAATCGAATGATCGATCAAGAGCCGCGAATCACTCGCACACGATGCTCGTCGACCATATCAAAATACTCCCTCGGGGGGATTGATTATCTGCAATCATTTTCAGGAGTTCCATAAGTGGTTCCCCAGGCAACGAGTGGGTGTGCTTCACAATTCCGGATCGTATTCTGGGAGGAAAAAATCGACACTTATCGACGAAATTCACAGTTCTAAAGGCACCCTCATCACATCTTATCAGGTATAGTTTGCGAGGCTCTCTAGGATTGCAGGCCCAAGTTGATGCGATCCTGCACACATACATGAGTGCTCATCCACCCGCACGCGAAACGAGGGCTTTGCGACGGTGAAGATGCGAGCTATACCGTCGGATATGGTTCGATCCCCTGATATCGCCCGATCGTCTTATGATGAGAGAAATAATCATCTCCTCCGTTCAGGGAATCGTTATGTATCAAGATGACCTGATCCACCATCATTGGCATTACATTATCCTCGATGAGGGTCATAAAATTCGGAACCCGGACGCTCAAGCAACGCTAGCTGTGAAGCAATTCCGAACACCGCACAGGTTGATCCTGTCTGGATCCCCAATACAGAACAATCTCCGGGAGCTGTGGTCATTATTCGATTTCGTATTCCCTGGCAAGCTCGGGACATTGCCCGTGTTCATGGCCGAGTTCGCCGTTCCGATAACACATGGTGGCTATGCCAACGCGACAGAGACTCAGGTAATGCTCGTTCGCTGGAATTACCCTTCTTAGCTTACGCCGAGCGTGTGCATCCACCGCAGTGATCCGATGATGATCATGCGGAAAGTATCGCGAAGAGGTAGCCTATCGAGTCGAATGTCTTATTGGGCCTATCCATCGCTCGCAGGTCGCTGTGGGATATCGATGCGCCACCATTCTGCGGGATACGATAAAACCATATTTGCTGCGTCGAATGAAGAGCGACGTGAAGACGAGCATCAATCTACCACCCAAAAGCGAGCAGGTGATCTTCTGCAAACTGACAGAGAGGTGAGCTCCTCGCCAGCTGCGAATGAAACACCCGGTGTGCCCTTTTCTATCCTCCTCTTCTGACCTGATTGAATTCCCGCAGGCAGCGTGATCTCTATCGAGAATATGTGGAGAGTCATGAGGTGAAGAAGATCCTCGATGGGAGGATGCAAATTTTCGTGGGCTTGGTCAATTTGCGGAAAATCTGCAACCATCCCGATCTTTACGACGGCGGTCCTGATAAAGATATAATCACTTCATCCCGAAAGGTACCTTCATCGTCCTTGGGTATCCCTGCATGGAGCATCGAATAGATCCCTGGGCTCACAGAACGGTTATGACTTATAACGTTCGCGAATCTCCCTGAATTCAATCAACCATTGAGCCTCTTATTCTTTTATGCTATTTTTCATCGAACGGAACTCGTAGCTCTGGCTCTTCACAGGATCTGCATCGGAGAGAGCCCGCGGAGCAGAGGATGGAGCCAGGAAGCTCGTTCGGGTTTTACAAACGGTCCGGAAAGCTGATGGTGGTGGAAGCCCTATTGAAGCTATGGAGCAAACAGAAGCAAAGGTGAACATGCTCGGGAGCGAGCCGCCGTGGATCGACCGGGAAACTTTTCGCGATCGTCCCCGAGCTTCCCGGGAACCCCGAACGATCTTCTAAGTGCATTCCGATTATGCAGGGTCCTGCTGTTCACGCAGTCTCGACAAATGCTTCGCATACTGGAAGAATTCGTGCAAAACCGCCATTACACCTATCTGTCCATGGATGGGAGCACTGCGATATCCACGAGACAGCCAGCTATTGATAGATTCAATCAGGCAAGCCCGATCCATGAAACTCACCCAAGTTCAGATTCTAGCGGAAACTAGACGTCGATGCCCCAGCCTCCACATTACATATAACTAATCGGCCATCGATTCTTTTAGGATAGTTCCATCTTCATTTTCCTCCTGACGACGCGTGTTGGTGGTCTTGGCGTGAATCTCACGGGCGCGAACCGTGTCATAATCTACGATCCAGACTGGAACCCGAGCACAGATATGCAAGCGCGCGAGAGAGCCTGGAGGATCGGGCAACAAAAAGATGTCACCGTGTATAGGTCCGCACCAGCTCATGCTCTCGATGAAAAACCCTATCTTGCAGTACCTTTTGCGCTTGATGGCGCTTACTAAGCGACCTTGACTTTTTTCAGGCTGATGACTGCAGGAACAATCGAGGAGAAGATCTACCACAGGCAGATCTTCAAACAGTTTCTCACAAACAGGGTTCTAAAGAACCCCAAGCAGAGGAGATTTTTCAAAACCAACGAAATGTATGAGCTATTCACGCTCTCAGAAGATGTACATAAGGAAGAACGCACAGAGACTTCTGATATTTTCGCCGGAACAGGCTCGACAGTAGACAGGAAGCGTCTGAAAGCTCTCAATAAACAGAAACGTCAAGATGAAGAGACCAGAAGGCAACGCATGAGAGAATTGGGTCAGTGCTCGATATGCGATTCGTATTGTTCCACCCGTGCCGAGAGCCACCAGAGTAGTTCAGTTCATTCTAGCGATAAAATCATTCGCCTCCAGCTAAGAAACTCAGCCAGAAAATCGGGTCGGGGGAGAAAATCGTCGCAGCTGACTTCGACCGCGGCCACGAAGTCAACACTGTTCGAGTCGACGGCGTCGAGATCGAGGGAGCCGCCCGGAAATCACGCTACAAAGATGACTCGATCGATGATCAGGGAGATGCCAGCAGGGCAAACAACGACTACATCTTGGCGAAGCTCTTCAAAAACAGCAAAGTTCACTCGGTTTGTGTAATCAGAACGTGTGCCGGCAGTATCGATCGCGCTCAGATAGTGAAGGGGCCAACGTTTTCTATCTTCCCTGTTTTCAGGTCATGAAGCATGATAAAATAATGGAATCTGCGGTGCCCGACGGGAGCCTCGTCGAATCTGAAGCAAACCACGTGGCTCAAGAAGCCATAAAGAAGTTGAAAGAAGCCAGGCGACTTTGCTACAGGTAATCAGCTGTAGATTCCTCGATATATCGGGGCGGCATCACGTTCCTATCATCGTGGATTCGAAGTATACCAGAGTACCACATTACATCTCAAGAGTAGGAGCGAGAAGTTTCCCTAAGACGTATGGTGGTATTGCAGCGCGAGCGACGGCGTTCCAAATTGGACGGGACGCCACGGGGGCTTCCGAGGGAAGAAGAAGGTGCTCTTCGGCACGAAAGTTCTGAAGAATCTGCCGGCATCGACACTCCCGAAGGACGCCAAGAAAGACAAAACGATGACTGGGTCTCGCAAGAAGAAGGATGCATCGCTCTTCAATTACAATCCCGAAAAGTTGAACTCACAGAAAGGTACGACCCTCCTGTGTTTCCGGCCTCGCCGTTCCCAAATGATCTGGTGCGAATGCTGAGGACGAATGTTATTTTGAAAGATTCGTCATCTGTTTTAGTGGCTTCCTCTGCTGATCTCATGAAACAACTCCGCACTCGGACGATCTGTGATGCTGATATCGAGAAAATATCCGATGATGAAGGACAGGGAAGTAGTGCTGCAAGCGGAGCGTCGCAAAGGAAAGAATCCCTATCTATCTCAGGCGTCGATAGGCTCCTCGCTGATATACGGACATTCATCGCAATCGGTGAGCAATGAAATTATTCACGCTCTCCAGTCGTCTCCCGCGTTCAGCAGCCTCTTGGCTCTTTTGCGATTGCATTCGATGGTCTCGGTCAAGGGGGCCCCACCGCACCTCTGGAGGCGTAGAATCAAAAACTGCAGATCATTTTATGCCTGTCATCATATACGCATACCTCAGGAGATACCTTAAGAATATCTAATTGATGAACTACGATGAGACCGATGATGTTCAATAATGCAGAGTCGGGGTGCGGCGATTTTACAACCGAGATCTATTGGGGTTCCATCCGAGTGACGCAGCGCGACGAGGAAGAGAAGCGTCTTGAAATTCTTGATGAAGAAGGTTCCAAAGGATGCTTGAGAACTCCTGTCAAAGAACTGATGTCTCCTTTCCGCTCCGCAGAATCTGACGTGAATGGACAAGCTACGACTAGCGAGATCGTGAGCCGTTTCCGCGAAACGGTTTCGAAGGACAAAGCGACTTTGTTCAAGTCTCTCTTGAAGAAACTCTGCGAGTTCCATCGAGAGAACCAGGGAGTGTGGAAATTGCGGCCAGAATTTCGGTAGCTCGTCAGCCTCGGCCATAATTGGTATCAAATATCAGCACAGAGGCGGTGTAACCTCGGCGCAGCGCCCTTCGCACAAACCCGACTCAATAAACAGATCGGGACAGATACCTTGCATTCCGGAACAAGTCGAAGAGTCTTCGGTCCACCGGTGGACTTTTCACGAGATGACCACGAGGGTCTCTTGTTGCAACAAAGATATCTACGATGATCGTCGCGATGTCCCATTCGGGGAAGACTCGAGTCTGGAGACGGATTGGGCAACGAACCGCCGCCGGCAAGTGTCCAGAATCCGGAGAAAGCCCATCCATCGCATCAGACAAGCCGCATACTATCGACCAAGACCGGGAAACGCGATGTCGATTAGCCGACGAGACAAAAATATTTGCTGATTTCCCTCGACCAGGGATGCGCCTTGCGCTGCAAGAGACACTCTCCCGTCTCCACGTCGAACTATGGTCTACCCGTCGGAAGTTAATCATCTCGTCGTCGGAGTCGGTCTCTCTCCACCTTCTCCATCATGTTTCCGAGTATCGGCTATCTATTCGGTGAACAGATCCCTCCGCTGGATCGAGTCGGAGATCTCGGGACTATTCTCACCCCAGACCCCCGATCCGAGACTCATCTCTCATGATGTCATCTCTCGTGCCGGACGGATTGCAAACTTCGTTTTGAGATAGCCAATGTCTAATTCTTGATGTTGATATTCATGCCTATGGATCTCCGGTCGCGCCCTCCTCCTCCTCATAGGGCTCTGAGATTCGGAGACCCAGGCTGGAACGGAGCGATGCCGCTCCTGATGCCTCCCGGAGAAGGCTCGACAGGAGAGTTGCCGCGAGAGGCGGCCTCGAAGTAAAGGATATCCAAGTCATTCCTATCGCGGAGATCCTCGGTGACGAGGATCTCTGCTCGGCGCTCACAATACTCGCCGACCCGGAAATCCATGATTTTTTCGTTGTGCAGCAAATTTTAACCCGATCTCAAATTCGTTACGTGTCACGTGCCCGGAAAAATGCTGTCGAACATAGTATACGGCGGATATTTCTTAAACGTCTTAATTCTATGTGATATATGCCTTTGTACTCTTGTTCCGAGCTATCCTCATGCCAGCAATAAAATTAGTGACTAACTGTCGAAGCCACACCACCACGAATCTTTTTACCGCCCATTGGCATAGTCGAGGGTGAAAAGTGTAGAGGGATGAAATGTCCGAACGCCTGTTCGAATTTGATGGGAAAGCTACGAAGGCGAAAACCTTTTAGTGCGGCGTGGTGATCTCGACGTGGACGATTCCAGCGAGGAAACGGTCCACGAGGAATAAGGAAGCTCCGGAGTCGCAAACTATCTGCGGGTCGAGGATGAGGTTCATGAGTGGCACTGAGGAGCCGAAGTCACCCAAGCTCGCGCCTTCCAAATCGTCAAAGAGACATTGCTGACGGGACCAGCGCGGCAAGCACTTCAGAAAAGAGACGCGGCTTCAATCGGAAGTCATCCTCGAGGATCGAAGCTGTTGAGGAGCGCATATTGAGGAAGAATGATCTCGGATGGCGGATGTACTCGGACGAGTGCTACCGAAGCGGACAAAAAGAGAGATCTTCAAGGATGGCGCGATCAGGGGCAACTGGATGAGGGAAACGATATAGAGGATCATTGAAAGATTGCGACTGAGAAATGGCTGAGAAACTCACTAGAAATGGCTCCGAAGTCGAGTTAGAGCAGAAGTGCGGTGAGCGACGAGCATGAGGAGCTGGAAGCTGCGGCAGTCGACTCCGGGTATGAATCGTTCCGCCCTGAGGTTTCATCTTTTCGAAACGTTTAGTCGAAAAGGCTCGGGTGAGGTTAGATAAGCCCGAGACGACTCGGTTGTGGCGAGTAGCCGGGGACCGGATAACCCGGAACGACTCGGTGACGGCGAGCGACCGGGGTTTGACTGGGGACTGAGACCGGGCCGAGTCGGCGACTTCCAGGAAAATTATCCCTAAATTAACGAGCAATGCTTTCTCAGAGAGCGTTTCGAGGGGCTTTTGTGCGCTTTGTGAGATGGCTTCAGTCTCCTACCGCTTAGCGTCATGATGGATTAGAGAACACCAGAACACGTCAGCGTCATAGGAGGACAGAACCACGAAGTGCTTTATTGTAGAGAATATCGTCAGAGCTTTTTTCCCTGACCGTGAGGGAGGCGATGTTGCTCATGCGCAGACCCAACACCCTCCCTTGCGCAGGACCAACTTCGCCTATCATTCTTGCTTCTTCTGGAATCCTCGAGTTGATCACGGATTCCCGATTGAGTCGGTCCTACACTCGATGAAGCCAATCAGGAGCAATAATTCATTCCAGTCCGAGCTTGATTCTGCAACTTCTGAACTTTTCCGGAGTCAGGTTTTTCGTGAGAATGTCAGCCGTCATCTCGGTTGTCGGAAGATGTTTTACGACAACCACTCCTTCATTAACTAGATCTCGGATGAAATGGTGTCGCAAATCAATGTGTTTGGTTCGCTCATGATGGACGGTATTCGCGCTCAAATGAACAGCACCGATATTGTCGCTGTAAAGAGTGATTGGACGTGCGATCTTCACCGATGGCAATTCCGAGAAAATAGAAAGCCACTTGATTTCTTGTCAGGCCGCGGCACAGGCCATGTACTCGGCCTCGCTCGTGGAGAGCGCGACGGTCGGTTCTTTTCGGCTGGTCCATGATATACATCCGCCAGCTAGCATGAATGCATAACCTGTTGTCGATTTTCGACAGGTCTCACAACCACCCCAATCGGCATCCGAGTAGGCTTCCACATTCTCGTTGGCGATCTTTCCGTCGAACTTGAGCTTCAGGTCGATTGTTCCTTTCAAATATCTCATGATTCACTTTACTGCGACCCAATGAGCGTTGGATGGATCCGCACAAAACTGGCTTACCACGCTGACTGCGTGACATATGTCGGGCCGTGTTGTTTGAGAAATGTGAATCAAGCAGCCGACCGCTTCACGATATGGAGCATCGGTTCTTTCTCCAAGATCCATACGTTTATTGAGTTTCGAGCCAGCCTCCATTGGCGTCGAGGCTGGCTTCGCTTCCGCGAGACGGAATCGCTCCAAAACTCGCGAAATGTTCTCTCTCTGGTCCAAGAAGAGCTCCTTTCTTCCTTGTCTTTGAGCTATCCTAATGCCGAGACAATAACTCGCTGGTCCCAGACCTTTTATCGGGAATACATTCCCAACCTTCCTGATTATTTCTGCCAGCAAGTCAGAGTCATTGTAGAATATAAGAAAATCGTCCACGTAGATGGTCAGAATCAGGATACTCTCTTCTCTTGTCAGACAGTAGCAGCAGCTGTCAGCTTTGAATGCGACGAGACCTATATCCTTCAGGCTGCGATTGAGGGTTTCGAACCACACTCTTCCGGCTTGACGTAATCCATACAGCGATTTCTTGAGTAGACATACCTGGTTACTCACACTGAAACACTCCGGCTGTTCCATGAGTATTACTTCTTCGAGCTTCCAGTGTAAGTACGCGGTTTCTATACATCGAGCTGATGAATTCTCCAACCTTTCTGTGCAGCGCAAGCGAAGAGAAACCTCAGCGTAGTGATCTTCCCGACAGGAGAGTAAGTCTCCTCGAAGTCGATACCTTTCGTCTGGCTACACCCGCGCCCCACGAGCCGCGCTTTATATTTCGTGATCTTCCCGTTGCTGTCTCTCTTGAGCTGGAAAACCCATTTTGAGGTGATAACTCTTCGGTCAGACGGTCGATCAGCTAAGACCCATGTTCCGTTTTTGTCATGCGCTTGCTCCTCTGCTTCCATCGCGGACTTCCACTCATCAGCGTCCGACCTCGATAAGGCTTCCCGTACTGTTCCAGGAGAGTTGAAAGTAGTTGTGGAGCCCGGACTGCAGACATATGCCTCTTCCTTATTCGAGGAATAATCTCCCTCATACCCTTGCTTTGTCGCCTCTGAGCCGCCATGAGTCTCCGTCGTTGTATCTTGAGAGCAGACACAGACGTGCTGCTCCATCCAAGTCGGTCCCGTGCGGTTCCTCTGTGGCCGATTCCGGGGTGCGGCCGCCGATCCAGCTTCGACTACTTCATCCTCGGAATCTACGAAATACTCGATTTCCACGGATCTGTCGGGAATTTCCACTGTTCTGTCGGAGCAGTGCCCCGGACTCGACTTCCGAATGCATGGACCTGCTACATTAAGCCTTGATCCTGGACCCGCTACATTAAGCATCGGTCCTTCCATCGCTTCGTCCGAACCCGCTACAGCAAGCATCCGTCCCCTCATCTCATCGCCCGGACCCGCTTCATCGAGCATCGGTCCCCTCATCTCATCGCCCGGACCCGCTTCATCGAGCATCGGTCCACTCATCTCATCGCCCGGACCCGCTACAGCAAGCGTCGGTCCCCTCATGTCATCGCCCGGACCTGCTACATCAAGCATCGGTCCTTCCATCGCTTCGTCCGGACCCGCTTCATCGAGCATCGGTCCCCTCATCTCATCGCCCGGATCCGCTACATCAAGCATCGGTCCCCTCATGTTGTCAACCGGACCAGCTACCTTAAGCCTCGGTCCTCCTTCGGAATCGTGCCAAATTATTGACGAAGCCATGGTGTCCTCATCGAAGACAACATTCCGAGCTTTCCCGACACGAGATCTGTCGCTAAGTGGTACCAGACGATAAGCTTTTGACTCCTGGCAGTAAGCAACGAAGATACAGATTTTCGCTTTCTGATCCCATTTCTTCCGCTTTTCCTTCGGGATGTGCGCATACGCCAAGCACCCGAAAACATGTGAATGGCCGAGATTCGGTTTCTTTCCCGACCACGCCTCCTCCGGACATATATCCGCCAGAGCTTCGGTCACATTCTTCAATTTACATGCCGTGCGAACTGCTTCAGCCCAAAAAGACTCATCGAAACCGGCGTCCGTCAGCATAGACCGTGCTTTCTCCACCAGTGCGCGGATCGCTCTCTCTGCACGCCCATTTTGCTCCGCACAATACGGCACAGTTGTCTCATGGCGTATTCCATTGCCAGAAAGAAAACTTGAAACCCTCCTGTTGACGGATGTACTTGACGGAAGCGTGCTGGGCCCATAATCTGATGGATTAGAGACTAGAGAACACCAGAACACGTCAGCTTCATGGGGGACTGAACAACGAAGTGCTTTATTGTAGAGAGCTTTTTTCGCTGACCGTGAGGAAGGCGATGTTGCTCATGCGCAGACCCAACACGTCATTCTGCTTGCTCAGATTGCAGTCATCGGCCCCTCGGAGCACAATCTCTTCCCGCAACGATGACACCTGGAATTACATAAGAATATTATGAGGAGTTCCGGGATCCAGGAACTGAAGTGGGCCGAGCATCCAGAGACTCCATGACCGCCGTTTATAGAGCCACAGCCGTCAAGTCCGATTATCTTCAGAACGAGCAAGCCAAGCACTATTCCGTGAGTGGTCTGTAGATGGCAATCTGATAATTTCCGAAGTGTTTTTCCCGCGGATTCTCGGAGCTCGCTTCCGAGAGGGATCTGTGCTTTGCGGATGGAACTCCGACGATTCCCAGGGTTTCGAAAAGCGCGCCGAGCTGGCTCCCCCTCTTGCTGGAGCAGTCCGACTATCCGACCCGTGCAGCGGAAATCGGCAGGTTTCCGATCACTAGCGGACGGTATATGATGATGAGGCTGTAGGCTGCTGCCTGGCTGCTGCTCTTATATGTGATTGTGTTGTTGTTCGTCGTCTACGTGATTCTGGCAGGCGCTCATGGTCCTGATTCCGCTGGAACTATATGCCCGAGCGGAAACGGCGACACCTAGCATCATATTTGCATTCTTCTCAGAGCTTGCGGAGCGGGGGTCGAGATCTCCGGAAGAAACAGCTCGAGCGAAGGACCAGATCTCCAACAAACTAACCTGATGTGTAAGTAGATGTATCTGCGATGTTTCTGAGAGATCGTCGAGTCGTCGCCGGAATGAACGAAAGTTTGAGATTGCTCATCTAGATTTGAGCTCGGAGGTCCGCCAAGCCGGAAAGGGGAGACATGTCACCTCGATTCACCGGATCCTATTAGCTTGCTGTAAAGTGAACGCGTCTTTAAACGAAGCTGTTTCAGTGACGATCAAAGAGAATGTCACCATATACTTTATCATCTGCTTCTGAAAAAGACTGAAATGATGACGATTCTGGCGATATTCCGCCCGAATGGTTTCAGCATATGCGTTTGCGTGTCTCCTCTTCTCGCGTCTACCTCAAGCGACTCATTCGAAAGACTATCCTGGTCTGAGATTGCTTCATCCACCCCTCAGCCATACCTGGCGGCGGACATGCACTCCACACTGGCAGTAGTAGAGAACAGCATAATGGTGGTGGGCCCGGTGTCGGAGGGCCCGGGGCTAAAATGCAGCAGCCGTTCTCGAAACATCAGCAACAACTGGCGGGAAGCGTTCAGTCCCTCACAGCGGCTCATCTCCATTCCCACAAAGAATTAGATCCCCGAGTCATGAGTGGAGGTGGAGGACATCACGGACCCCCACCGCCACCGAAAATTGAGGCTCTTGGGATGATCGATGCGTGGGCTCGCATGCCTCCTCGATACGCTTCACAACCAACGTCACTCGAGCCGCGATTCATCGGTTCATCGCCAGCTGCCTTCTATCATGCCCCGGTATGTTACATATAATTTAACACGGATTCCATCCGTCGACCCTTGATTTGATCTCATGAATGGTGGAATTTTTCCCAGGTTTCACCTTACGGCACAGCGTATGCGGGACTCGGCAGTAAAAACCCCCATCACGGGGGGGCTCCGTGGAGCAACGGGACGGATGTTGCCTCCTATTTCAGGTATCCGCCCGGCCCACCAGGCTCAGCCGAATTCCATCATCCGGAATCCATGTCAATCCCTGGCATTTTCGGGAATGGATATCCCGCAGGCACTTACGGCGCGCCGAGTAACTTCGGGTACTCTCCCTTCCCGCCGACGCACACCGCATCTGGACCTGCAGTCTCGCAAGACTATACTGGATGGGCGCCCACGACGGCACATGAGCTGCTAGACCGAGGCGCGCATCAGAAGAACCCTTACGGCGATTATTACAGGTAGGCTTCCTGTGATCACCCGATTTCCAGGCGATTCACGCGATCGATCAGCCCTGGAGATGGACCGCTGAAGGAAAAATGTCATTTTACAGTTATGACCTCGTCAGTACTGCACAGCCGAACATGATCGCTCCGACGGGGGCTCCGCTCGACATGGGGGGCGGCCCCATCACGATCAATTGCGATGAGAGAGTCAAGAGTCTCGGGAATCAAATCGAAAACCTCTCTTTGGCTCCTATGGGGCCGAATCTAGTATTCGGCAACAGCGACCACGATTTGGAACAACAGGGTCACGTAACCCATGAAGGGCCCCTGGCGGCCGGCGTGACGAACCCGGAAAACGTGGATCTCCCGACGAAGGTCGAGGAAGCTCTGCATCCGGAGTATTCGGCTGAGTAAGTCATCATTAGTATTGGGTTTTCTGAGATGGATTTCTTAATTCGCTGTTCAGAATGAATACTTAATGATTTCACTCGGGTGCCTATTGCTCGAGGCTCTCGGTGGCCGCTTTTCTGGAATTCCATTAACTTTTGCAGTGTCTCTCCGAATCGAACTGACGGGGAATCTCCCGTCATGGCCTCGAAGAAAGCGATCGCGACTTCTGGATCGACAACAGACAAGACGGAGAATAACAACAACGACAACAATAACAACGACAACGACATCGATCAGACCGACAATGACAGCACAGTGATCGACGTCAAGCAAGAGAAGCATTCGTCGGCTCTGAACGCCGCGGCAAGCACGACGGAGTCTCAGACGTTGTCCAACGTGGCGACAGATGCAGCAGAAGATGGCTCGCAAACCGCGGCCAGTGGTAACAAGGATCCTTCGAGTTCGAATATGTTGGGAAATAGCGGACACGAAGAAATGGCGGGAGACGAGAAGAAGGAGGCGGTCTCGACTTCGAAAGAAAGCATGAATTTAAGCAATTGGAACTGGATGGATGAAGAAGTGAAAGATTGGAGTGCATCTCCTCCGCCCTCGCCTGCTGTTCTACCACTCGACAGCAATGACGCGGTGTCGTTGAAACAAAACGATGATGCTGTAGATCATGATGACGGGGGCGAGGAACAGACATCGACGCAGTTGCTCCAGGATCTAATACGGAAAAATAACTATAATCCGAGCGAACTGGATGCGCGAATCGAAGGGGCGCGGTTCTTCGTGATTAAAAGCTATTCGGAAGACGACGTTCATCGGAGTATCAAGTATTCGATATGGTGCTCTACAGAGCATGGGAACAAAAAGTTGGATCAAGCTTTCCGCCATCAGAAGAATAAGGAAACGAATCCCATCTATCTCTTTTATTCTGTCAATGGATCCGGCCATTTCTGTGGGATGGCTCAGATGACATCGAGTGTCGATTACGATACCCTAACTGGTGTTTGGGCCCAGGACAAATGGAAAGGAAAATTCAACGTGAAGTGGATTTACGTCAAGGATATCCCGAATCAGGAGCTACGTCATATCCGCCTCGAAAATAACGAGAACAAACCAGTGACGAACTCACGAGATACACAAGAAGTCCCGCCGGACAAAGGTCGTCAGGTGCTCGAAATAATGCACAGCTACAGGTCAGCCTATCTCCATGTTGTTCCTCAATACATCCGGAAATATTACCCGCACGGAATGAGACAAGAACGCATCGTTCCTATTTTCAGACATGAAACTTCTTTGTTCGACGATTTCGTTTATTATGAAGACATGGAACACAAGAGAGAAGCCGAGAGAGAAAATCAACATACACGAGATCGCGGCTCGCCCTCGCTAGGAGCCAGAAGCTCGGCGTCAACAAGTACATTCCGAGATCCCCCGCCGAAACGCAAGGATCATGTAGATGATGCTCGCGAAGGGCATCCAAGCAATGGCAATCATCATCATCAGCATCATCGAGAAAGTCATCATCATGGAAAAGATTATCATCATCGGCAAGTGCCTCCTTATTCATCCAGTTTTTCCGCGGAGTTGGGATCAGACCTGGTGGCTGCGGAGTGAGAGCTCAGTGGAATGTCGGCCATCACATTTGTTCTTGTTTCAGGGGAGATCTCAGAGAACACCCGAGAAACTCAGCTGTCAGTGGCGGCTGCAGCGGAGGAAGATCATTTAGCGGGTCGAACGCTGGAAGTTACAATCATCGCGAGAACAACAGCCGAGGGTTCGGAGGATTTCGCGGCGAGGCCGACTCGAGGAGTAATAATCATTCTGGACGAAGCTTTACGAATTTCCGGAGAAACGCAGACAGGGATCGGGACAACATCGGGGGCGAAAGAACTTTCTTCTCTAGTAGAAACAACACCTCTGTGCGTAACGATACGGCTCATTGGAGATCCTGAGCGACTTAAAAAATACAGCCCATACTATCATTCGTCGTTTCCGCGGCTAATATAGGCAATTTGCCGTCGAAGAAGTACATGACGAGAACGGCCCAACTTCAGATTTCGCGATATCGTTGACTAAGAGTAAGTTTGGGAATAGCGCGAATACGATTCATCATGGCTGCTCTCGAGGAATTTATAAAGATGAACTGTCAACCTCAAAACAAACAAATATCCCCTCCGCGTGAGCCTCGAGGTTTTGGAAATTTTTAATGGTCGTGATCAATGAAAATATTGAAGACTTCGACGATTTTGATGCGAGGATTGATTTTGAATACATCCGCAGACTCATCAATTGACGACAGTTAGCTGAAGCGGCGTTCGAATTTCTTAGCGATCGGTGACGTGAGAGAACTCCGAATTTCTTATAAACGCAGTTCTAAGCAAAATCTGTTTCTGATAAATGAGCAGATGGGGGAAAGCTGAGCATGGTGAAGACCCGAGGACTGAAGTGTATGCTCATGGTTCACCTTCGCTTCCGGAACTGGAATACTGAACACTCGTGATTGTACTTTATGGCATGGAATGATGTCTAGTTGGCTGTCGTATATTGTGAGTGAATAAATTCGAGCTGCAGATGCCGGTTCCTCATCGTGTCTTGAAGGACGCTCATCGCCATAGGCAGTAATCGCTCCCTTCGTCGGTCCCCTGACTCGGAGGAAATCCGGAGCAGTCCTCGAGTGATGTGTTTGCGGAAGAGATCTCTCCTCATGGACGTGTGTTTTTCACGCTGTGCTCGTATGTTAGGATGGACAGTGGTTATCGAGCCGCGATCGGCGAGAACAATAACGTTCCGTCTGTCGCGAGCGACCCCGAATAGGGTAGCTTAAAGAGTCGTTTTCGGTCTCGTTCACCGGAGTCGGAACTCCAGATCGAATCGGAAATCGTTAATGTTTTCATGGTGCCTCCCTAGGATTATATGTTCGAGTATTCGAGCTCCACAACATCGACGGGACAAGGGCCCGAGATGGCCGAGGAGTCGTGCAGTGATCGGCTCCGAGCCTTGCGGCTCGGGCTCCTGTATCGCGAAACTTTCAACTCCCTTGCTTTTATCTGTTCGTCACGTCGCAATTTCTCCGGTGCTTTTCTTCTCTGAGCTCTTCGCGTTAATCAGCCCACCGAGCGACGAGCCTCATCTGCGAAGTTGGTATATGTTGTCTCTGCGTCTCGATCTTCTCAAGTTTTGTCCCATGATTCGGTAAGATGTACTTTCGAGCTCCTCTGCGCCCCATGGCCTCGCGGTGCTGCTTCCCTCATGAGAGAAACTACGGCGGCGGAGATGCGCAGTACACACCGAGTCCGCAAAATATTCGAATAGCCCGGAGTCTCAGGGAAGTCCGATCTTGTGAATGATGGCATATCTCACCATGAAAGACGCCTATGAGCATGTTTCTATACCTATTGGTGCTCGGTAGAATTGAGGTAACAACGTCGCAAGAGCAAAAGTGTCGAAGTCGGAACGAATGGGATTCGAATTTCGCGGCCCGGCTTGTTTTCCTCTGATTGTGCTTCCGTCGAAAAGACTCGAGCGTAAAGCCTCGGAACGGCGACCATGGAACCAATCTCTGACAGACGTTCGGTAGTGACAGTCCGATCGAAGACGACTCGACGAATCAAATTCTATTATGGAGACTCTACTCGAAGATTTCATCTCTGACGAAGATCTGAAGGTGAGACTCTCGCCCGATCTCCGTTCTCTCCGATGGATGTCACCAAGAGGCGCAGAGTATGTAGCTTGATAGCTGAGTCACGGTTATGGGGTGTGCGCCTCACGTCTTTGACGCGCCATCGGAGCAGATCTGAATCAAGTTAATCGTATTGACGGACGAACACGGCTCGAGCTCTCTAGGAGGTCTTCCACAGCGGGCTCCTCTTGTTCACGGGAGCGGCGTCCTGTGCATTGGATTATACGTCTCTTTGGGTTCGTCTATACGACTCAATGCAAGGGAGCAGATGCGAGGCTCGAAAATTTGAGCGTAGATATCCAATACACACAGTCATCATGACTTACGACCGTAGACGACTGAAAAACACTGTTGTTGCCGGTATGATCTCGAGTTACACATTCAACCGCCGCGGAGGGATTGTGATGCTGTCATTTCCTCGATTACTATCCTCAACCCGCGAATAGGAGCTCCAATACATCATGTAGTTGCAACTCATACGAGTTCCCCTGCAGAGGCTTCTCAAGAATGGAAGTCTCTCTCCGACTCCGATGCAAGCTCTCTAGCGTCAAGATGAATACCTTGCCTCCGATTTGTGGACAGCTAGTGACAACTTATGTACACCGTGAGGAATAGGGTGGTACATATTTCATAAGGACCCCTACCATCGTGTTTCATTTGCCGATCTCAGAGCACGGACCACGCTATCCATCAAAGTCACATCTTCGCGTTGTGGGATCTCCTCCGGAAGAATGCAAGCCCCTTCTGATAGTGGCCCCTCTAAAACAGGAGCCTATTCACTGAGTTCCCTGGAAAGAACGGAATGCCGGCGTTTTCCTGGAGGCTTCACGGTCAATATGCACGGTCTTCGGCGGACTGTTCTTCTTATCGGCGGAGTACAGCGCCCTCCTGTGCCTGGGGCAGTCTCTTGTTTGACACCCCATCCGAGCAACACAGGTTCGCGATCCATGATTCTTGGAGCCTCGCATTGGTATGCGAGTAGTGCCACGAGTATCCTAAGTGACTGAAGCGCGAGAGTCGAAATCATGCGACCCTCGTAGGTCCCGAGTTGCACGAGGCCATTCCCATTACCATAAAATAAAAACTTTTCGTATTCACGTAACGAAAAGTTCTTTTTCACCACAGACATGTGAGAAGCTTTACAACGACGAGTTGCGGAGAGGGATAAGGAACCCCAAAACCAAGTTCGACTACGCTTGGTGCCTGATACGCAGCAGATATCCGGCCGATACTCGCAAGGGTGTTCTCTTCATGGAAGGTAATGATCTGCTCGATTATCTCAGAGTTTTCTTTATAAGAAATGTCGGTCGCTCGTGATTCCCGCACCGGTCATGAAGACGGGGTTAGTGAGCCTTCTACCGGACAGTCGACTGGATTCCAAATGTTGGCTACCGATCAAGGACAACGATTTTGGAAGACCCGCTCCCAGACTTTCGAGGCCAATGTGTGACAAGTGACAACTCATATCGGAAAGCTCATTTTCTATAACCCAGTAACTTCCACGTAGTACCTCTCCTTTGTCTCTACATAAGATCAAATGCCAGGAGTTTGGAGTATCAATCGGCCAAACCAGGGTTGGCAAAGCTCTCATCTGAACTCGGCGGGAAACTTATCCGAACCAAAGAATCGACTCATGCGCGGGATGAGCAACTCATCTTGACTTCGCCCCCCTAGAGTCCTTGTCCAATTCTTCCGACGTTTGATGAACGCTATCAACTTGCAGATCTCTTCAAGAATGGGGACGAGAGTGCACGTCGTGACTATGTGTACTATCTGGCTTTCGGCAAATGCAAACTCAAGGAATACAGCTCTGCGAACAGGTTTGAGCAATAGAACACTCCGGGACGACGGATAATAATTACGAGGGCTCGCGCACTCGAAAGCGGTTCCAGAAAATCTGACCGTCTCACATGATAAATTTCATTGATAATAAGCACTACTAACCCTCGATTAGACTGAGCAGTGTGCGAATATATTGAGAGAATCACGCCCGGCCCATGATAGCCTCGAGCTTGCGATTCCCGCCTTGATCACGCTCGATGTCACCATCAGAGCCGGAGATCGGAGCAGAAGGAGCAGTAATGCAATTTTCCTATTTTCAGGTACATCAAAGCATTCCTGGAAATCGAGCCCTCGAATAGACAGGCGAAGGAACTGCAAGAAGTGATACAGAAACGCATCACGAGAGAGGGCTTGGCGGGCGCTGCGATCGCTGGCGGCATCGTTGCCGTTGTTGTCGGAACCGCTTTTGCCTTGCTGAAGAAATGATCCCAATCAAGCTCGATATTGAGCTCTCGAAGAGCGTCGCGCGCTCGGAGCCTTCGGGAGCTGATAGGACTCCCACCGTTGGACTGTTGAGTCGGAAAGTTCTCCGGGATCAGTGTTGAGTCGAGTTCATTCCTCGGCCAGGACCTTTTATGGGAAAATAAAATGGCGCTCTGTTTCGTTGGTCCCAAAATGGTTCTAATTCCCATATCTCTGCTTTCCTGAACGAGAGCCGAAAGAGCTTGGAGAGCTCTCTGAGACGACTCTGACGTGCGATGCTGAGTGAGGATGATCGGCCGGTGACTTTTGCCTCCCTATTTCGCAAGGTTCGAGTGCCTGGAACCCCTAGCTCTATTCATATGTTGTCAGGAGTTATGAGAAAGACTGACAGCGATGTGCTTTATGCATGAATCTATTCATCTACTCCATCTATCCATGTGATGTGGAGGGAAGACGGTCGGGCTCGGATTCCGGATTCCGAAGTTTCAAGTTTGGATGATGAGATAACTTTATTCCTTCGATATCGTCAGCATTGGTTTTTTATAACTGGCGAAGTCCATCGGAATAACATTCGTGCTTGTAATCCTATCCATGAGAAGATTGCACCTGACTCTCGTATGGTGTAAACAATCCTCAGCTCAGTCAAGATAGTCATGAGGTTATGAGGCCATGTCTCATCGCCTCTTGAATAAGACGCGTCGCGAATATTGAGCGGCGCATCGAACTACAAGAGACCGCTAGCGGCCATGATTTGAAGGAGCGACCTCGGACTAGAGACTCATACTTAATCGAAATCCTACTCGAGTCGACGGACTGATCTCCAGAGCTGGTCTCCCTATCCGCAAAAATCGGACACAAGGTGGCGAACCATCTCTGTGACAGTCATGGAGTGATCACCTTGGACAAGCTCAGCGCTCAGAACAGTTGAGCTACCATATATATTGCTGATGCGAGGCAAGGTTGAGAACTTCCGCTTGAGCTCGGCCCATCGCGCACGAAGATAGTCTAGAAGATTCGAGCGGAACATGGCGGAAGACAGGTTGTAGAGGATGAAATTTATGGAAAAATGAGTGTAGTACAGGAGCATGAAGTATCGCTGCATGACGAACACCTGCGAACATAGAATCGGGGCTCTGGTAGGCACTCTCAATTCCCTTCCAATGGTCCCGAAGAGGGGAAGCTGTGCCGAATATCATTTCTTTACTGCGCCCCCTAACTCTCTGAGATGCAGATTCGCTGCGGGCCCATGCAGGAGCCCACGGACTTCTGGTATATTCTCCTGACACGAATCGGCCTTGCCCTCATCCTGGCGAGCCTTCCCATCTACTTTCAAGAGCAACGCGAGCTCAAGACTCACCGATCGCCGAACCAATCCCTTGTCGTTATAAAAATGCAAATATAGACGCGACAGATAGAAAGGGGAATTCAGTATCAAGAACACTGTCGACACCAACAAGAGGGTCCGGGTGACCGACAATTGAATCGGGTTCTCCAGCTGCTGCCTCGCATCATTCGGGGACGGACCATGCAAGCCTGCAAATAGAAAGCGCGCAGAGCGTGACTTACAATTAGTTAGAACGGTTTATGGACGCTATTCGCCAGGCTGGTAGAATCGAGGAGAATCTAGTCTACGCTAAACAAGCGACATCCGTCTCTGGAAGATTCCATTCCTCACTTGGGTCGTTCGAAACGTGAGGACCGCCCGCGAGTACCCCGCCTGTTGTCTAGACTTGAGCGAGCACATACATTGTATGTCTTTATCTCGGAAAGAAAGACCTTTCGAAAGATTACCCTCTCTCGACGCTCCTGTCAAGGAGTCTGTAGATTCCCTCGTCTTCAGGACCGCGCCCTGCTGCTTCCACATGGTGTGGGAGACAAAGATCGCCCTCGCGATCATCAGATTCATGAATGAAATCAGCAGGGCAGGCAAGCAGAAGGTGAGCACAGTGTCCGTTATGTTTATGAAGTATAGAAATCTACAATCAAAGAATCGAGTCATTCAGTGCGAGGGCTTGCGGTGACGGAATTTTTAGGTGGAGCAGAATTCGATGAATTCCCACGAAGAAGTGATTGCTCCTCGTGCTGACGAGTTACAAGAAGTTCACGCAGGGACCGAAATACTGACTCCTCCGGGCTGCTCGAGTAAAATAGAGGTGGTACTTTCACTCACTTTTTCAATGAATCGTCCGAAGTACAGATGTAAAGCTGGGCCCGGGAAATCGGCCTCGCAGTCACGTCGAACATAAAATGACTATTGAGAATGAAGCTGAGCACCATCAGTGTGCTGACAATTGATCTCGCCCGTCTCCTAGTGCTCATGTGGATGTGTCCCCATAGTGGGTAGCATACGGCGAGATACCTGGCGCAAACGTTATCGACGACTGAGTGCAACCCATGTTGTCATGTATGAAGAAAAATAGAGCTGCTACGCGCTGCTATGTCACGCGTTAGCTCCCCCATTGGAATCACCTTTCAGCAGTGAAGCTCACTGTTAGCCATACTGATAGAGTCGCGAAGCCCTCAGTTAAGAACACCGTTATTTGACACATTCCGGGGATGGCGGTCAACTGAAAAGTCAGGTGATGTTCGCTGTCTTAGAATACTTGGAAACGATCATCATCAAGGGGATAGACGCGGGCGAACTCGCCTGACGACGGCGATGATATCGTCAGCCCTGGTCTCCCACCGGGCCATGTGAGTCGTATGGTTCGTGGAATCGGCTAATAGTATGCGGTGTCCCAGAGACGACTTGACTACGGTCTATATCAATTGGTTGTAGGTTGTAGGTAGCTCCTTCTCGTGCTCCGACTCATCGCTCGAGGGCTCGCGATTATGACGGATCGACCTACCACAACATAGATACGTATGCCTGCGTGTTCGTTTGTCTCTTTGCTAGTACGAAGTTTCCCATTGACTTCCAGTAGACTAGAACATTTGGAGGTGTATACTGAGAAGTTGGCGGCCCTCGGAAAGTTCATACATAGGGAGCTCGTCGCCTTCATGTGGTTTGTGCCTTCCCAATGGGGAGGTAGAATTCCATTGGTATGGTATTCCATCAGCATTTGCGCCATAGGAACAGTCTGTCGTCCGATGGTGAGCATCGAATCGAACATAGCATCGAACTTGAAGGACGCTTTGATTGGTTATGCAAAGTTGTATCCTGCAGAAGTACCTCGGATTCGTCATCTCGAGTCGATCAGTCGCCGATAGGCAGGGTGAAAGGTACCTCGGGAGGCCGCAGCGAGATCAGGAACTATCATCGTGAAGCCCATGCCGAAGTTAAAATCTCCAGCTCGCTTGGAAGGCGTGCGGCCCAGACCTGAGAGCCAGACTCACTAACAGAGAAAATGGGGAATATGAGACGTATTCGCTCTGATTAAAAGACATGCTCTATTATGAGGGGATGCCCAATTGTCAAGCTCCCAATTGAGAGGCATCTTAGAACGCGGGAGAAAAATCGCGGGAAAACAGAGCATTTTTCTGTGAAAAAATCCGACTGAAGGGCATGCTCTAATCGGAGGAGATGAACTCATCGGGGTGCACTTCACGGGAGGATTGAAAAATTCGAAAACAAATATTGTCGCGCATGCTCTTCAACTAGAGGACATATCTAAAAATATAGACGGAGACAAACATCGAGATCGCGGGCAACGACGGACTGGACAATCCCCTGGCCTCAGCTTGCACGTGCGGGCGGGCGAACTCAGAGCTTTGGAAAAACAGTGAGGTCCTTCATCGTCTCAATGTGGGACAGAGATTTACGTCTGACGGAGTATTGACGATAGTAGAGATCAGGACCCGCAGGCGGTATACCACATAGTTCGTTGACGATATTTGAGGTCCCTCTCCTGAGTACGAAGGGGTGGGAGTCCCTCATAATATCGTGCAGTGCGTTTGAGTCTGAGGGACATCGAATCGTCTCCATACACTTTGAACCATCGGCATTATATGTATTTGTACGAAAATCGACTCTGTGAACGTCCTGTATGGTACTCCATGCGAGACACGGGGGAGAAGGAGGGGAGAACAGTGGACAGGAAGCAAAACGAATGAAGGTGTCGGTGACTCGGAGGTCCGCCACCAGGAGACGGAAGATCAGTAGAATCAACGAACTCAATGGAGTTATTATACCCCAATCACTCCGACAGTGAGGGAAGTAATTTTCCTCGACCATGGCGGGGACTAGCCTTTCAGGCATCGATCCGGAGAGGGAAGGCGTGGAGGACTCCGGGGTGGGAAAGGTTGACAATCTCTGAGAGGATACCGTTCTGGAAAACGGTGGAGACAGGGAGGAAGAGAGAAAAACAGCAGGGTGGACGGTAAATGATGGATGAGGAGGGGGGGGGGGAAAGATGAGCACGTGACGAATGCATCCGCTGCATAGAAAGAGCAATCACTCAGATCAAAGGCTTGCTTTGAGAGTGATGATTAAATCCTGACTCACATTCACGCCCATTGCGGTCAGCCATTCGAACGATATGAAGAACAGGAAACCGAAATCTGACGCAGCTAGAGCACTCATGTAGTAAGAGCTCGTTTTCGACCTGAGGCAGGAGTTCCTGAATGTGAGAAAAGAGAGAACATTGCCGACAAGACCGCCATAGATTGCTACTGCCATATAGTAGGTATTCAGGATGGCTAGCGTGTGGATGGCCCAGGGCTGCTTGTAGAGACTCTGGAGCTCCGAGGAGTCGTCCTGAAAAGGTTGTAGCACTCAATAGTTTCTGTGGTCCTCCCACGGTCCGATCTATGATTTTTCGAAACGAAATAGGTGGTGGGAAGGAATTGAAAATGAGAGTCGGTGCGAATCGCCGAGCCGTTCCGGACTTAAACTGGATAGCTCGATAGGCATTCTCTCCGACTATGCCGTCTGGCCCCAAAACGTCGTCGAACCTCTACTCTCAACCCATAAGGAGCGGAGGACTACCGGCTTCCATCTCTGGGATTTCACGGGAGTTTCGGCCCCGGGGCAGAATGTTCCCGGTGCCTCGATCAGCGGCCGACACGGGAACTCCCTGAAGCCAACCGTCTCGTCTTCAATCTGCGCGTATGATCGAACACAAAATCGATTCGAGGAACAAGCTCCTCTCCGCTTCTTCATAGAGCTGTACGGGATAAGTAGATCTCTGAACTCTAAGGAACCACTGCAGTCTCGTGAAGCGACAACCCGAGTTCTTCGCTTATCACCATTCTGCCGTCGGACTTCTCGAATATTTGAAAGGGGCACGACTGGGTCTTCTTCTCGCTGTACGTCCACGACGTTGTTTCTCCACTCAAGACGACGACTGGTACTGGCCATGACTACACGCTCGCCAGAGAATGATCTGAGTATTGGCACTGAGACCACTGACAAGATGAAGTTCGGCAGCGGGGGCTTTCAGCAGCCACCCACATCTTTAGGCTTCCTGAAGCACTTTTCGGGGAGGTGAGTTCCTCTTTTCGGCATCTGGATTCCTTGCGGATGAGTTGTATGCACGAGATGCGTAAGCGAGAGTCCCCGAAGGTTGGCATCGCCGCTTGCGCAATGCCCAAGACCCGCGATCTGTAGTAATTGTCACGCGCGCATTATCACTTTTCGATTCGAAAATTCTTCCGACGATGTCCTACGGAACGGACTTCATGTGGGATCGTTTGACGATGGCGGATTTCGAGGCCCCACGCTGGGGGCCAGATTCATGAAGAATTATTCTGGAGTTCACCGCGTGCTCAGCGAGAAACAAATTGGCTCATCTCCCTGCCGACACGACCCTACCCTGGCTCAGAGAACCACCGTAGCTCCGAGCGTTGTTGGCGAGGTCTCAAATGTGCATTCGAGAGAAGGGAGCACCTGCTGCCCGGCCGTCTTGGGAGACCGTGCGTCTTGGGAGCGGTACGTGGCCGAGGTTGACGAAGACTCTTTTGAGACCCCGGCAATAATGTCTGACAAATGGAAGAACGCCTACTGCAAAAGGGGGGCATCGACCAACCAGAGCGGCAGTCGGCGGATTTTATCTATTGCTGAGCAAGAATGCGGATCTCGAGCACCTCGCGGATGGTGAAACGCGGTGTGACTTGCGAGGAGCATCACCTTCATCCCTGTCCGAAGGCTGACTGGAACGACTGACCGTTCTGTGATATGAATTGTGATCTGCACACTGGCAGATGAACAGCATCGGAATCTGAGAGAATGCTAGACCTTGATGTAAACTGAAAGCTTCTATATTTATTGTGCCATATGAGTGCTGGTCCTTAAGCAGTGCTGATCCCATCACTCTAAAGTACGATACAGTCGAGGCCGCCTATGAGTCACTCCTCGGGAGAAGCGGGAGAAGTCCCCTACTGAGCGAGTGTCTCTTACTTGAGCGGTGTTCAACACTGAATGCTATAAGACCGCTGGATAAGGAGGTGTCTACTATGGGCGGCTCAGACTGTACTCGACCTTCCATCGGACCATGTGAGCCGTCGATTTACAATAATCCAGCTTCATCTGGCGCCCCACGGGGATCATCACACCCATTTCTTTTCATCTTTCTTTCAAAATCATCTTGTCATTGATTGCATTAGAAAGATATCTGATCTCTCACGCATTTTAAGAGATCCGTGGCGAGTCAGCCCGCGTCCGAATTTGAGAGTCGCCTCGGACGACACTTGGATCAAAATTTCTCCTGGAGTCCTAGAGCAGCACGAACATGCCCCTGACAGTCGAGCAGTTATCAAGTTCGGGCATGTCCGTCCTTCTCCCAATGAAGCGAGCAGAGGCGAGTTCGAGCTCGAAGTTGCTAATGAAAGAAGGATGCAGGGCGCGTGAGGCGCGATCGCGCTTCACGGCTGGCAAGGATTCCGGGCTGATTCCCCCTATCGAGTCTTCGCCATTCAGAGCTTTTTCTCCGCGAGCATCACTCTCTTAGCGGGGAAGTACTGCATGCTCGTCTGCAGACGCGTCCGCAGAGGGGGGCTAAGGGGGCTACAGCCTCTCCCAGATTGAGCACTCGTAATACTGAGGTTTAGCAGCGAGTCGCCATATTAGATATCAGCGCTATGCGAAGACCCGACCTAGCCCCCGCCCAAGAAAAATCATGCGGACGGCACCGCACATCTGATGCTCCCCGCAGATCGGCGCGGTGAGATATTTTCTTCCGAATCGCAATCACGCAGTGGATATCTCCCAGGAACGAGTTGCTCCCCAATGCGCTCAGTCGAGTCACGCAGTAACAGCGGAATTAGACAATGATCTTGATTCCGACTTCATTTGACTGACGTGAAACTCCATTGGAGTTTCGTCGTGTACCCTCAGAAATCAGGCGGCGGACCCCCGGGGGTCCGGGCAGCCCCGGTTGGAAACCGCTGGTCTAGGGAAGTGGAGGCCGTACTGCGGAAACTGAGAAACTTTCGAGCTAGCGACTAGCCTCTGATTGGTCGAAGCAACAAGCTGGTCGAGACGGCGAGAGGCTCCCGATGAGTTTATACGATCTTCTACATACGCGGACGATAATTGAATCCGATACTGATCCGATAATTTCCCCGCGCCAAATTTCCCGGAAATCGGGGATGCGTTCATGACAGTAAAGCTGGTGTCGCCGAATGTCCTGTCCGAACGGCGGAAAAAACAGGTGAACATGTACAACGCATTCTGGAACCGGTTCGGAGGGTAATAAGTCTGAGTCTGACCAAGGAACAAAACCGGTTAAGAGTCGATCTTCCCAAGTGGGAAGCTTCCTAGTGATCGACGTCACTGAAGACTCAGAGGACTCAGTCGGGGAAGGACACCCGTCAATACGGGAGGGATCGTTCAATCCCTGAGACGCAGTGGCAGCAGTCGGGGAGTCGCGGACGGAAGCGTCACGTTTTGCGAATAACAATCGGCGCGGGAACCAGCATTCTAGAAAGGTCACGGGAACATGTTTGTGATACAACTGAAGCAAACGTGCCGGCAAGCGTTTCTCGGTCTTCAGCGACTATTCATAACGTTGCCTAGAAACGGATGTGTACCAAGGTCCATCTACGCGAATATCAGGCGAAGTCCCATAAAGGTTTCCTCCAATCCGAAAAGGCGAATGCGGTTGGCAGTAGCATTACAAATTGGTTCAATCAGGATCTCTATAGATGATCAGAACCACCTCCGAGAGCGTCGTTGTGACCCGTCACGCTATCTGCGTCTCGGACCGACGTTCTGCCGATCGAATCGAAACTTTGATTACTGACCTTGGAATGATTCATTTCGTCGTCTCGGTGGGCTCGGTAATTTTCCTCACATTATTCCGTAGTCGAAGTTTTTTATCCGAGCTTTCTGCACCTCGCAAATTAGATTTCGAGAACATCTTCATTCTGTCCGACAACTGATGAGAGCGGGCGGTCGCATGCCCGGCTTGGGACGTGAGGACAAGGAAACGGTAAGATTTTCGGCGAGGAAGACTCGGACGATATTCGTGACGAGCCGAGCGGTCACAGGGTGACTCGAAGAAATCTCTGGTTGTTTGCTAGCGGGCAACACTTTTCCGCTACGAGAACTTTCCTGCAATGTCTTCCTTCCTTGTAGCCTCTGCTCAGCGACACCCGCATCCCTCTCCGTAATCTCGCGAAAGCGATCTCCGCCGCGAGCATATACGGCAGGACCACATCCTTAAACTCAAATAGGGCTCAGATCACCTCTCGCCTTCGGGAAGGCATCGGCTTCGCCGAGAGTCCGTGACGACAGGATGAGTCGGACCGCGCGTCGCCTCCGCCCGCCAGCCATCGATCACTCTCCGGAAGAGGGATCTACATGTGATGCCGTCTATCCGTGATACGGCGAATACCGATTCGCCGGGGACATCCACGCCGATCAAGTCATGATGATCCCGGGAGTTCATGATGATGACTCCGCAATTGTGCGACGGTAATTACGAGAGCCTGGAACTTCAGGCAGAATGCCATGAATGCCTCCTTTTGCCTTATACTGTTTTTTTGGCGACATTTTGCCTTTTCTACGTTTTTTCGAGGCATTTTGCTTTTCCACCCCAAAGCCAAGTTCGAATGTTGCTTGGCAGGGTTTTTTCGGGCAAGAATTCAACCTGCTAACCGGAGAAAGCTACATTTGCTCTTCTAGTCCGACTACGTATCGGACCAAAGCTTCTCTCAGTATTACTACAAAACTCACCTACCCAGCATCAGCCATCAGCCCCATCCTTGACCACGGAAAAATATCACAGAAAAAGAAGATGATTGACAGACTAATCCTCTCAGAAGAACTCCCGTAGATAAATCCCCTCGCATTCACATGCCTGCGACCATGTTCCGAGCCGTTTCCCCCTCCCCCCTTCCCATTATTTTTAACGTCTCTGCTCTAGTGCACGTGCCTTGCCACAGGCAGGGCTCGGCCCTAGTGGCGTCCACAATACAAACAGAAGTCTCCAAAAAATAAATGCACACATTTAAAAAAAATTATGTAATCGATCCCCGAGACTCTGTCGCGCGTGAATTTCCTCCACCACGAATTCGGTTTTGTAATGAGTTCCACCAGGCCGACGCAATTTGAGTATTAGTCTCGGCCCACGGACTTTCGAGAGATCACTGCAGAATCCTTATAGGTTCCAGACAAATAATTGAAAATCTCGGAAACAACAATGTCCCCGCAACTGGAAGGTCGGAAGACTTGCTGGAGCTCTCGAGTTCTGAATTCGCTTCATTGGTCAACGTGAATGAGGGGCGCTCTTTTTCTCGTCATGAAGCCCTCTGATCATCGACATGGCCTTATCAACGGAAATGCGAGATACCATGCTATCGCTGATTGTAACGCTCAAATCCTCATATGAGAGGGAATATTCGGATCTCGACCTCATATCTTACGTGAGAGCATGAAGATTTCACTCGAGATAGACAACGCGGACAATCCAGTATCTTATTCCATACAATAATCGATAGGTTTCGAAGATTCAGACACACAAGGATCTTCATACCCGGATCAATTTGGCTTTCGAGCATATCGAGAATGGATTTCTCGGGGAAGGCTAAGAGTTCCTCCTGGTCCTGGGGATTTCCTACCTGTTTTGTCACGATTCTTGAGATTCTCGATGTCACAGACTATTTCTGCTCTCGGAGTATTGGCATCAAAATGTTGGAGGAGTTTGAAAAATATATTCCCAGAGACGAGGCAGCAAAACTGCGATCGACGGGACTCAGGTATTTTTGCACGGCAGGGAAGAAGTAAACAGCCTCATGCTAAACACAAGGCAGATCCCTCGAGCTCTCCCTAGGATACCTCCCCTCATAGTGAGCACAGCTCCAGGAGGGAGAAGCGAATTCATGGAAGATTCATGAGCTTCGAGGCTGGGGGGAGGACCCACGGCTTTCACGGATGGAGGATCAGCATGGATGAACGAAGAACCAGCGCGGCTGTCGACAGGAGAATGAAGAGGACATTCCTTATTATTCGACCCAGTTTTATGAAGTCATTCAGCGTCTTTGTGGAAGCAGCGCTTCGCACCGAGCAGAGCTGCCAGGCGTCCGGAGGCCATCATCGCGACGTCCGATCTTTGATCCAAGTATGATAATTGTCGAGCTTTATGTAGAAACCGAAATTGCCGGCTCTCCCGCAGCCCACTCCCCAGGAAACCACGCCGAGCGCATACCAGCGGCCGCCGTGTTCCGCTGTGAAACTTCCGCCTGAATCACCCTTGCAAGCATCGCCGATGATATCTTGGTTGTATCCAGCGCAAAACATGTTGGCAGTCACCTGGAAAGATCAGGAGTGTTTTAGAGACCTCCGTCGTTTCTTTGATCTTCCCCTTCGCAACCGAGGACATGCTTCATTTCCGGAGGAGAATATGCCGAGCTCCTCGAGTCTGTGACTGAGGCGGTCACCTAGTGGTATTTATTTATCCTCGAGGCGCTTTCACTTCAAAGGCGAGTAGGTATTCTCAGCGGATTGTCTCACGAGATAATCATCCTCAGATGCGAGTCTCGCAATCATCCGGGTCGAATAGGATTCTACATACTTCGAAGTTATGTCATGGAGGGGGAAGGGAAGTGTAATCTCGAGAATTGAATACAAGAGAGGGGAAAGAAGTGGATGAGGTCGCGTTCTCCCTACGGACGCATCTGTCGATCGAAGTCGCTAACGACTGAATGAGCGAAGGTCAGGTGTGGCCGAGACCAGAATGCGCGTCGAGACCGACAGCGTCTCCAGCGATAGGGAACGAGTCAATGCATCCCTTTCCGATGTCCTCACATGGCCTCGACAGAAAAAGCTGGTATTCTCCGGCCACAGCGCGTGGTCGTCGGAGACCGAACAGAACGAGAAGTGCCCGGCTTCTTCTGAATTCGGATTGAGACGCCAACAACTGTGATATTCTCACGACCCTCCATCCCGAGTGGGCGTCGCGACGCTCGCTGAACGCTTCTCGCCGTAAGTCTCGTCCTTTCGGCGCTCAATGAGCCCACTTCGAGTCAGTTTCTCGATGCAGAGGCAGGGAATCGAGGAAGATATGAACTGCGTGCGAGGCCCGACCCGGCGCCGCATACATGAATTCTACCTCCACCATTCGCAAGCTTCAGCCCACTTCTACGCTGAAAAAAGATAATGCCGAGTGTGTCTGACTCACAGGGTGGGTGGTCGAGGCTCTGCATCGTTCTGGATTGACTAGGGGTAACTTGATTTCTTGTAGGAATCTGGGTTGACCACCTCGTTCGGAAAGTTTTCCCCAGCCCGCTACCGTGCCATATCTGAGATCCTTGTAGTTGAAGAATGTTTTCCTGATGAGGTCCGTGTCGCCGAGGCAGATCGGGCCAATGTAATCCGTGAAGTGCAGTTTCGATCGCAGTTTCACAAGTGCAAGATCACTGTCGTAAGTCGCTGGATCGAAATTTCTGCAATATAAAGCTTTGATTCAGTTGGCATGATCGCATGCATCGTTCAAACGATGCGGCGGTAACTCTGAATTTTCAGTACCAGTCCTCGGAATCGTTCCGCTCTGAGTTGCGAATTAAGATTGGCACTCACGGATGGATTATGTATTTCTCAACCCTATCGGAGACTTCGTTCTCCTCAGCGGTAAGCTGATCGTGCTTTCCTAGGATGACGCTGACGTTCTCGATGCCTTCATCGAAGTTGACGATGCAATGAGCGGCGGTGAGCACCTCGAATAGGAACGAGAGGATCTCACATAACCAGAGCCTGGCGAGAATGAACGGGACCAGCTCATCGAGAACCGGAGGCGGTATCCAGAGCGGTCATTAGGAGGGAACGTCGAGCATACTGACCCATTGATGATTCAGGAGAGATCCCCCGCAGAAAGCCTTCTTCTTCGGCGAATAAAACATCGCCATCCATGGGTGGCTCCCGATTCGAGCCGTGGTTCCAGCGATGATTTTGCCGTCCACACTGTGGCTCTTTGTGCCAGCCGAGGGAACATATTTGGGTCTCCCGCACACTGAGGATTTGTGATTGTTAGACATATGAGACAAGACGGTAAGGATCACCTTTTCGATCGGGTCGAAAGCTCGAAAGGGGTATTCCCTTGAATTGAGTACCTTCATTCATGTCGTCCTTCGGCCTCACTCTGAGGAGAGCTGACGTCTTCATCGAGCAACGGCTTAATTTATCGGTCACGACGCAAGTGTAAACACCACTGTCGGTCCATGACGCGTCGCTGATGTAGATTCCGTCTGGAAAGAGAGAGAGTGCGATTCCCGCTATCAGGCATAAGCATCAGAGAAAGCTCTGTTCTCCAGGAGAGCCTCGTCAGGAAGCACCCGGATGAGAGTCCCAGTTCACGTATTTTGTTGGTGAACCAGTCTGAAGACGAGCGTCTCACACATCACTCTTCGGAAGCTCGAGGTCGTTCCACAGTCACATCCTTCGTCGGTCATCCCAAATCCACATCCAACCAATCCCAAAAGAGATTTGATGAGCCGATTTCAACGAAACTCCGCTAGACCCATCAGCCGCGCACCACAGGACGGTGGAACGTCTCGCTCGGGGCCGAGAGGGAACGAGAGAAGGAAACACTCACGTCCGACCGTTGTCTTGATTCTGGAAGTATTCCGTATCGACTGGAAATTCCGGAGCCATTCGTAAGACAGTGGAGACCTCTTCAGCGTCCGAGAGCGCGCTTGACATAGGAAATAAGGACTCTCGCCCGAATAGCACTCTACATCGGACAGCGGTCGAACTGCTGCAAGAAGAGAAAGTTCCGTGTGAAGAACCTGGCCGGAATCCAACTTCTTATCCATGGACATGAGACCCTCTGGCGATAGATATCCGAAGTTTTCTCGTACCACCTACTTATATTGCACGGGTTCCCGACTGTTCGGTTGTGAACTTCCACGGAGATCCTCATCTCACTCCTCTTGTTCTGGAGCGCGACGTCACAGCGGTACTCGCCGGCGATCGCCCTGGTCGCTTTTCTGATGAACAGTACGTGGTCCGATGGAAATTCTATCGGAAGGCTCTCATTACCAACTTCCAAGCGTAAGCCGTCTTTATACCTGGAAAATATATTCGATATCAGATGAAGCGCCTCGTTTTGGAGCGTGAACCTCAGCGTATACCCCTCATCACCGATAATACATTTGCGATCGCGGAAAATGATCCTTTGGTTTTCCTGTACCATGTAACTCTTGAGTTTATATTCTTCGGACTACACTGTAACGCGTAATCTTCCCCGATCGGAACGATGATCGCTCCGCTCTCGAAGGGCCGGACAAACATCTCGGATGGCGCCAACAATGGCGTGGGTAACATGTTCGTTTGCTCTGAAACTTTCTCTACTGAGAAGCGCAAAATGGATTAATGAGTGATGAATCAGCTCCACAAACTTCAGGAGAGGTACGGGGAACAAATCCTCTTGGTCGGAAAGAAAGAAGCGAACCTGCCGGTGTCATCATCTTGAAGAGTATCTTGAAACCTCTCACTTCGCTGAAGCCGTCGCTGACGAACACAATCCGCAGTCCGTTCGATGAGGATTCTACGACTTTTTTCGGCACACCGTCCCCACAGAGCCGGTGAGTTACCTGCCATCCTAACTTGAAGAAATCATCTCTCAGGTTTATTATATCGACCCGAATGCTTGGCCATTTTAGAATTGTGTGCAGATTATGCCGCGTGTAGTGCTGCGAGAGAGGGAACACGGTAGGTCGTTCGAGCTTACCGCTCTCGGATTTGCTGTTTTCTCCGATCTTGTCCGATATTTCGACGAAATCTGCGACACATGTCGGAGACTTCTCGAGTAGAAAGTATTCGAAAGACAGTTCTATCCGTCGTCTCCGAGCAGCGATCAGCTCGATGACACATTCTTGATTAGCTGGGTATTTCTTCGGCCAGTTCGGAGACGTGATAGTGCCGTTCAAAGCTGTCTGACTGACGACACAAGTACCGCGGGCGTCGACCTGAAACCGAATTTTCGGGCTGAGTGATTTTCGCTTCGCTCAGATCGAAAGAATCGTCGGAGCCTCAAACGTCCGAAGCAGAGTCTTGGTGCAGAGAGAAGCCCATCAGAGATTTATTCTTCGTAAGGCGTGGAATACGGAGTGATCACGGCAATTCCAGATGAGAGGGTGTAGGCTCTCACGCCTGTCTCATCGAGGAACTCTGGAGCTGAGATGTGACTCGGTTCGATTTGAACCTGGAGCGGAATTGCACGATGCTTGTTCCCGATTCCGGTGCGTATCTCCTGACTCATGGTCTTCGCTGCGAACATGATTCTGTCATGGAGCGTCGCTTCTCAGAGTAGACCTTCGTGCGGGGCTTGGAGCTAAACATATTCTAGTCGCGGCTCTTTTCGGAAGGGAGAGGAAATGGAGAATCAGAGTCCACATACTTTTGAAACTCCGCGAGCGTGTACTCATCCTCCATCTCCACACGCATGAGTGTAAGTTTATTCCCCGATTTTTTCGGCCGCTATCCCTGCCGAGTCTTCGAGCGATCCAGAAGTCTTGGTCTGAGTGAGTATAATGTGTAGAGCGAGTGAACGCTCCCTAGACGGCTCCCTCGATTGCGCGAGAAGTCAGTTGAGCGTGTGTTTTCTCGGCTTAGAACACATTCGGATCCCTCGAGGAATCGGGTGTCATCGAAACGCTATGCCGACGTGTGTCCTCCGATCCTAACATCGATCTTCCGGAGAGCATGAGAGTATGGTCTACATGAGGACATCGGCAACTCTCTCATCCGCTCACCTCTAGCGGCTCACGGAAGGAGCTCATCGCCTCATAGCTCGAGGCTGGTGGGAATCCTCGCGCTCCGTAGGCCGGACCACGTTCATCAATATCAAGTATAGTATAAACTAGGTTATATCACCTTCGGCTTCCTGAAACTCGATTATATCACATATCAGCGGTAATCAATCGAGTCGTGAATGTGATATGATCGGATCCTCATTGACGTCTATGGGAGCTTCATCATAGACTTAGTCATTGTCAGAGTTGAATTCTTGGCGGGCCACATTCGAGCGCCGCAGGTGCCCGCGGCCGACATTGAAAATTTACTTTCGTATAAAAGGAGAATATATGCCTATCGTCCATGGAAGAATTCCTTTCCAGCCTTCGGGGATCGAGGGAAAACTCGTTTGTTCGGTTTTACGGGTTGGCTTCGAGTATGTGGGGAAATATTGGCGGGCCACAAAAAAAGACCTCGCGGGCCTAATGTGGCCCGAGGGCCACGGATTTGACACCTCTGTAGGACGAAGTACCCTAGATCTGTATGCTATGACCTCTCATTCGATGCGATATATTTTCCTTTCCCTGAAGCGGAGCGATGCTCAGTCAGCTGAATCATCGGGAACGGACGAGCCGAGGGTCATTAGAGGATAGGCCAGCAATCCTCATCTGAGGACACTCTTCAATTAGTTCAAGGACAAGACGAGACGGGATTGATAACCACTGAAGCTAGACGGAACGGTATTTCCTCCCACGACTGGCCTCGACCTCACACCGAAGTCGAATGGAATCGAATATGGCTAGCCGTCCGATTAAACGACAATGTGTGACGTTCGGCGCTGTCGCCACCGGAAGTTACGGCGGACCATCCAAACGGGATAACGGCGAGATGCTTTAAGTATTATAGAGTTTCCGAAGCTGTGGAGACCAGAAAGGAGATGGGTTCCCGACTCTTTTAAGCACTCACGTGAAGCTCGGGTCTCGAAGATTCAAAGGTTGCATTGAACCCGCTGTCTTGGAAAATGTCATCAGAATGAAAGACGACAAGCACGTTGTTGGTCGAACTCGTAATTCCTCTAACTCTAGACTTGCTGCACCAACGCCCGAGGCTGGGAAAATCTGTAAGAGACCAATGATTGCGTTGAATGACGGAATGCGAAGACCAGAGTACAAGCAGCCTCCCACCCCCAGCATACCTAGCATCCGCAACATACTACACAATACGGCTTATGGTAGCCACGTCCCTGCCGAATACGGACATCTCGAGTTTCCTATTAATACGGGCACTATGATAGGAGCAGAAACGATCAAGAATGCTTATTTCAGAGGACAGCTGACAATGCCCAATTACTGATGAATTCTGTGGACTGCAAGTGACTATATCTTCGATTGAAAGTCTCGACCCATTGTTGGATCTAATGCTGATTCATTTCACGATCCATTTGCTGGCTAGGATCAACAGGATCGATTGAAGCCGATACCGATTCGGCTCGATGGGGATTTCGCCCCTTGCGTCACGACCATAAACTTATCGGACGTCAAGTTAAACAAGGCATAACTTCGAGTACTGTCGTCTGTCGTCAAGCCGGTCGGAATGTCGCTCACCAGCTGTGGGTCCGTCGAATACTTCGACATAATCGCTGTCGCAATCAATACTCGTCTCCAGCGATATATCCTCAAAATTCAGAAAAATTATATCACCGGTCGAAACCGAAATGATTGTTTCGCAATGCTCGTTCGGTCCGTACCCGGTTGGGTAACCGGGAGACGAGAAAGTGCCATGCTCGTCCGTCAGGACGGTCTTACAAGATGTTCCTGGAATAAAACATCAACGTCGAATGGCGTTCTTGGGATCAAGCATGAATGTCGAATGCCGCGCTCGTGTGTAGGCCCGAATGTCAATAGCCTCGTGGTGATTTTCGGTACATGAGGGAGGATATTAGAGCAACAGCCTTACCCTTCGCGAGGTTCCTCGCGTCGTCGCTAAAATATTCGAATCTGAAGCCAATATCATTGATGTTCGAGTCGGATGCGAACTCGAGAATCGCCACTGACGAATTGGTTCTGATGACATCTCCTTCGAGAAGCATGCGACCACAGAATCTGCCGAGCTTCTTCGAGGAGGGTCCGACCGAGATTAACAAGTTGTCGTACCTGTGAATGGAGACAAGATAACGTTTCGTCGCAGCGGGACCACCCTGACCTGGTATTCAGTATTCAGACGGAAGGAATCCGGAAGTATATCACTCACCCGCATCCTATGCTCCACTCGACTGAGAAATTCCTCACTAGGAGAGTGACATTGCCGTATTGTGCCACCATGTTCCAACGACAGTGAGCGTTCTTCGGGTACTCATGAGGGAAGCCGGGGGACGTCAGAACACCGCGGCCCTCACTGACCGTGACATTGAACATGCATTCTGTAGGATTGTGAGAGAAATCGATTGAGATCAGGTGCGAAAGGCGCAAAGCCATCCCTTTTCGCCTCGATGCCGGAGGCGCAGACGAGAAAATCATTCTTGTTCCCCTTTTCACGATCAGCGATGTGCTGAGCTACATATTATATGTACATCGACTCGACAAAAGATATCACGCTTAATTTGCTGTTTTTTTATCCCGGTGGGGTGCTGCTTCCCTCCTACCGGCAGCCGCCGGCGACAATCATCCACCAACCCAGCTTCACCGATTTAGCTCTTCGCTTATCTTGACGAAAAAATGAAATCGAATCTCGACTCTCAAGATATCGATATCCGGCCCACAGAAAAGTACCTAGGGAAAAGTTCCTCAGATAGATTGAGTCGCCGTAGACGTATTCCCTGGATCCGCCGCTAATCCAATCGACCGGGAAAAGAAACGCGGGTCATCCAGGTGACGAGGAGATCCTTGAAACAGGCACCTTTGTACCCGTGAAGCAACTCCCGCCGAGAACTCGAAAACAATCGAATCTCTCTATGACCAGGCTTGTTCAATTCGGGAGCAATGAATGGATAATCATGGCCTAAGATACATTCTAGGTCTCTAGGTCCACATATCAAAATGCAGATGCTCAGAATTCTCACAGAGACGTCAAGGATAGCGGTTCTATCAACGATTCGACCGGGAAATCCCTCCTGACCGAGAGAGCTCCCCGAGATCTTGCATCTATGGAAAAATTGGAGTCTTTGATCGATAAATCAGCGATGATCGCGCTCAGAAACCGACAGAGCAGAACGAGGACATTTCCGTCGCTCGAGGAACGCCGCCATGTACATGGACACATAAGCGTGACCTCTCGAAGGGACTACAGTTTCCGAGGAATGTTCACATTACGTCCGAGCCTCGCGAAGGAAAGGGGACCAACAGAAGGTGGACGCTCTTCGTGCAGGATACTATGCATACAGCTCTCGGCAGCTCGTATTTCAGGCGTTCGTCTCCTCAAACATATTCGGCGAATAATGAATAATGATATCATTCGGCATTGATGAAGGAAACAGCCGATGGAGCGGATTGGCAATTTGAACGAGTCGCGTTATGCTCATTCGACATGGGAATGGTCTGCTGCTTATAACTCCGCGTACCTGACTCCAATGCAGCAACCGGAAATGCCAATTCTTCAGAAGATGCTGCTCTGGAAAGAAATCACTTGAATTACTGAATGTCCGAGAAGGATCGGATCCTCCGAGGGATGCAGAGGAGAAGCATAGGACTCCCGACTTCCGAATATATACAGGACTCGCCGCAAATCCATTGAGGCGGAGGATCACGGTACAATTTCAGAGAGGTGAGCATACCACGCTCCGGGAGCCCACGCCAGAGATCTGCGATCGGGACGGGTCAAGTGAACTGCTCTTCAGAGTGAAGATGCATGCCATGATGAGGGACCGCGCTTGGATTCAATTAATGTCCGTGCTGTTCTAAATTACCAATCAAGTTAAAACCAAACTGAATATTCGTGCATAGATCGAGCAGTTTGAGAGTATAAGCTCCGATCGCGGGGTAAACCTTGTCACCCTTTGATTCTACGCATCGTGTCTGATGCTGGGTATCCCTAAAAAGACCACGTGAGTCTCCCGAAAACGTTTGTCCCTCGGCGAGGATATTCGATAGTATGGATGTCTCGATTCTTCGAAGGATCCGTCGTTGCAGAATGATCTCGTTGGATTAGTGTACCGGAGCGTAGCTATCACCGCGTCTTCTTCCGACTCTTCGAATGAGTCATATCTGAAGGAGCAGCATTCCGACGCTCCATTGATAATTCGAATCATTCGTTCCCGAATACACACCGCCCGAATCGATCTGAAGGTCTTTCTTGAAGCCACATGGCTGCTTGCTTGCGGAATATGTATCTCCCGAAACAAAATCTCCCGATAACAGCCCCTTTCCACTAGGAGCTCCTCTCCGACAGAGGCCCTCTCGTGGAGGCTTTTGATTTCTCAGAAGCCTCCCACCAATACGAGCCCCCCGTCCATAATGCAGGGTCTCAATTCCTGAACATCGAATTCGATATTGTGAACATTGTGAGGAATCGGCTGGTACATTCTCCTTCGAGACGGTTGCTATTCCGGGAATTCCGGGATTGCCAAGCTCCACATCGAGAACACTCTTTTCCCCACAATTCCTTCATCGCTATTCCCACGCGAAATCCTTCTCAAAATATTTAAAGTCCCTCTCCAATAGTAGCTCGTCTCTAAGGGAAGCCCGCAGCCGGGGACATCCAGACAAAATAGAAACACGGGTCACAATTTGGAGATTCACATATGTATACACCGTATTTATTCTGATAGAACGGCATGCTCTAATAGCACCGCACCTATACGAGAGTTTGAAGAGTAGAGCGGCATGCTCTGATAGAATAGCAGGGGGGGCATGCCGGTCTGATAGAGACTGCCCACTCGATGGGGGAGCGAAAATTATAGTGGCATCCTCCAGCAGATCGGCATGCTCCGATAGACCAACGCCCGATGAGGTGATCGGAAAATGGAACGGCATGCCGTTCTGTCAGAATGAATACGATATGTGTACGGTGTGAGTATGAGGGACCTCATCGCGGTCATTGACCGAGCCAGACTACATGGAGTTCGTAGAGGCGTTATTAATTTCGCAGAATCATGCGATCCAGACTACGGTTCCAAGTTCAGGCGACAGACGGCGGATGACGATGAGCCGGAGACCAGGTTCTATCATTTTCCTATTCGAGATCTACAAGGGCGGATGGCGGCAACCTCTCGACATCCGATCGGCAGACGATTGCATTAATGGAGCTTGGCGACTCTGCACGAATGTATGTACGGAACAATTTTCCTCAAAAAGCAGATATTTCATCCAAGAGGTATGGGCGCGGTCCCGTACTTTCCGGAACGTCACGACGTCGCGACTCTTTTCGCAAGATCTTGGGCATGCGCGTCTGAATTTGACTTCTACAAAGATTCAAATCTTCGTCGTGTGAGCATTTGGCTCGTTGTTGCCAGCTCCGCAAACAGAGAAGCCCCCGCAAGTCGTATGGGAAGCCATCGCCCTTTTACGCATTGATCGCTGTTTTTTTAGCGACGACAACACCTACAACGCTACTTCCTGATACGACGGGCTGGCACGGCGAAACAGCGACTCGACAGAATGACAGGAAAGACTTATTAATACAGTGAAGGCCATGTTCTTTCTAACAGCCATATTTACCCAACAAGGAGCCCTTGGGTGTGGGGAGAAGTCATCATTCGGGGCTCAAAGGTGACGAATCAGTCTTGATCCGAACGAGAGAATCTGCAGATCTTTCTCGATTCTCAAGTTGAGAATTTCGAATCTCGTCAGTAAATGATTAATCCTAGTAGTCACGTTTTTTCCCGGACATATCCCGATCCAGACATTGTCTAGGGTGTACCGAATAACGGACTGAATATGGAGCAACATCTCTCTTAGAAGCTTAGCTCAACCTGGAACCTAAGTACTGCTTTCTAGCGACAATCGTGCGCGAGCTTGATTGTAACTCGGAGCGTCTCTCCGTCCCCGAGCTGAGCGGGTCTTAAACTCCAGCTCCGGGATCGTCGTAAACCTTTTCTCGCCTACAAGCTCTACGCGGCCTTCCGAGCGATGATCGAGCTCCTCTGAGGAAGATCCCAAAGGAGCTGAGTTAAAACGGGAAAAGTAAACAACTTACGCTAGTGCTTGCTGAGCGGAAGTCGATGCTTCAGACAACAACAATATCAAAATCGCTGACTTCACCGGATGGACAGCGATCGATTGTGAAGCCATTGCTGCCAATATGGATAATGATATTCTGGACGTCGCTATTGCTGCAGTAGTGACGGCGACTGCTGCAAAGGCAGGTGTCGCCCGCGAGAAGAGACGCATTTTAAGCCAGGGGCGAATCTTATTGCTGCTCGCAGCTCCATGGAGAGTGTACGGCCCGTATCGTCATGATTCCGTCATTTCTGACGCACAGCACCTACTGGAGGGTGCTTAAATTCAGCCTCACATTAGTGGCGTTGAACGTCAAATATTGTAAGGCGTGGTAGGAACCTGAAAATTAGCGGATTAGCGCACTTGAGATCTTCGAGCCGCTTAAACTCTGCATCAATGTTCCCTATTCCGCTCCAGGGGCGGGAGCCGTTTATCGGTTAGTATGGAGAGTATTCAACGTTTGCGGCGCTATTTTGATGCTCAATCAGGTCGACAACGAAGTCGTCGACCTCATGAGCGAGCAGGATTTTATTTCGGAGCCTCTAGGAATTCGCTCCAAAATATTGAAGGCGTTCGATTTGACGAAGTCTTCTCTATGTGGGGCGCCCGGATTCAATGCGGTCGGTGCGCTGATGCGCCGCATATCGACTGGACCCGTTTCTTTTCACCCGCAGACACACCCGAAGCTACTAAGGTCTGCGACTGCTGACATGAGACAGGTAGCTATAACAACACTCACAGGAGCAGACATACACACACGCACCACCGCACACTCACACACGGACTGACTCACTGGCACAGGGACACATGATTTTTCGCCGTCGGGACGAGCGGCTCGGAGCGATGACGCCTCGAGATCTGGAGCCTTTGCGGAAGTTCTTCTGCTCCGGTCTGTGGAAGTCTGATGCACTTCCAGGGTCTTAGTCCACGATTGAGGGAGAACGACTTCTCGTTCCACGTATAATCCAGTCAGAGCGAAGCAAGTGAGCCTGACTCCCACGGTCAGGTGCTGAAGCCGATTCGATCGCGCTCATGTCGAAGAGAGGATTTTGGGAGAGCCCCTGGAGAGAGGGACAGATGAAAACGCAAGAGAGAGAATGGAATACTTAGCGCTTTCAGTGTCGCACGTTGGGTTCCTTTCAATTCGCAATACAGAACGATCGAGTTTCGAGCGAAACCGCGATCACTCATCACTCACGGATTATACAAGTCATACGTCTCGGGCATCGATCTGCTTATTGTAGATCCGGAAGCTAGCTCTCTCATAAAGATGGTGTTTTCGCGGAATGTGTTGACTCACTGGATTGAAATCTTTTATGGCA